TGGCGATAGTCGAGCGCGAACATATGGGCCGCTGCACGGGTAATACGTGGTCTTCAGACGCACCGCCGATCACGCGCTTCAGTTTTGTTCGCCCTTCCGCGTTCCACGTGACGCCCTTATTGGACACGTTTAGTGGCCATAACGATCGTTTAAATATTATGTTGTTGTTGTTGTTGTTCTTGTTGGACACGTTTAGTGGCCATAACGATCGTTTCAATATTATGTTGTTGTTGTTGTTGTTGTTGTTGTTTTTGTTCTTTGACACGTTTTTAAAAAATCGCTTTTCTCTTCGAATACTGGACCAATTGCTTTGAAATTTTCAGTGGTTAAAGATTAATTTCCTCGCTAGAAGGCTATTACTTTTATTTATTTCAAAATTTTGCGTGAATTCTGTGAAATTTGATATTTCGTCTAAAATTTTGCTGTATTATTTTTTATCCATGGGAACACGGATTTTAGTCAATGTCATGACTGGCTGTACGTTTTGATTCTGCAAAATTCTTGCTACTGGAAATTCAGAACTTTTTTGAGGGTACCGGTAGCGTCAAAGGTACCGGTAAAGACTGATTCGCTCTGGTCTAACGTGTCCATATATTTGTGCGTAGCTCTCTTGTTGGACAAGTTTAGTGGCCATAACGATCGTTTCAATATTATGTTGTTGTTGTTGTTGTTGTTGTTCTTTTTGTTCTTTGACACGTTTTTAAAAAATCGCTTTTCTCTTCGAATACTGGACCAATTGCTTTGAAATTTTCAGTGGTTAAAGATAAATTTCTTTGCTAGAAGGCTATTACTTTTATTTATTTCAAAATTTTGCGTGAATTCTATGAAATTTGATATTTCGTCTAAAATTTTGCTGTATTATTTTTTATCCATGGGAACACGGATTTTAGTCAGTGTCATGACTGGCTGTACGTTTTGATTCTGCAAAATTCTTGCTACTGGAAATTCAGAACTTTTTTGAGGGTACCGGTAGCGTCAAAGGTACCGGTAAAGACTGATTCGCTCTGGTCTAACGTGTCCATATATTTGTGCATAGCTCTCTTGTTCTTCGACACGTTTTTAAAAAATCGCTTTTCTCTTCGAATACTGGACCAATTGCTTTGAAATTTTCAGTGGTTAAAGATTAATTTCTTCGCTAGAAGGCTATTACTTTTATTTATTTCAAAATTTTGCGTGAATTCTATGAAATTTGATATTTCGTCTAAAATTTTGCTGTATTATTTTTTATCTATGGGAACACGGATTTTAGTCAGTGTCATGACTGGCTGTACGTTTTGATTCTGCAAAATTCTTGCTACTGGAAATTCAGAACTTTTTTGAGGGTACCGGTATCGTCAAAGGTACCGGTAAAGACTGATTCGCTCTGGTCTAACGTGTCCATATATTTGTGCGTAGCTCTCTTGTTATTATGACAGGTATTCTCACTTTTGCACAACCCAACTATTTTTTGTTACAATTTGATACATTTCTCCCATTGCCAAAATCATTCAATACCGTTATTATCGGCACTTGCGACAAAAGTGAATAGGGCAAACAAACTGTATTTCATTACAAAAATTAATTATTATCGCTAAAAACACTAAATTGGTTTAAAGTTAATTGTTTATAAACTGCTGGACGTATGTTTTCACGTCATGAATTTCGTGCAAGGCCCGCATGTCGAAACGCTTATTCGACTTTTCAGACGCAGAAACTATTAGAAAAATGTAACCGTTTTTGTGTTCCAGATATGGAATAATTGTCAATTCTACCACGCATTCGTGAGTAGTGCAATTTACTAAATTTAATGAAGTTTTTATTAGGTTTCACTGCATCAGTGTTCGGACATCCACGCGTTTTGCCAGATTACTGCCGGGATTACAGATTGCAAGGGAGGGCAAAATAGAACATTTTTATCAAATCGAATAATTCGAATATTTTTAACGAATTGTCAAATATCGGGTATTTTTATTATATATACAACAGGCATGTAGAACGCTAGACATTCTAATGTTGGTGAGCTATTTCTGTCTTTCCTCTTTTTTCACAAGGACCAATTATTACACAACGGTGAACGTCAAAGTTTGGCTGTATATTCCTGGGAGACCTATGCGTTCATATCGGCGACATATGTTAAAGACAGCTAATAGGGAGTGAATTCGGGGTTTTATTCCGATTTTTATCTTTTGCGTCGGCTATGATCCTTTTCCCTACCGTTTTTAAATTACCTGTCCCAACCAATCTTAAGCTAAAAATATATATTACCATTTCTGACGCCGGAATGCGGATATCTATGAATACGATATTTGACCTTTTTTTTACTTTTCTACTGTGCCTGTTTTATTTTCGTATTGAATGGTGAATGAAAACCCGGCAAATGCCTTGGTAAAATTTCACACAATAATTTTTTACCTTATTTGACATTTTCAATTTACGAAACGGTGTTGGCGCGCTTTATGCAAAACTTGGAATTGAAACAATACCCAGATACGACTCCTCAAATTTGTCGTTTCTGTTCGGTAGCAAGAGCCGTGGGGTAATTCTCTGGAATTTAAGGAATTGGAATCACTTGAAATAAATTTAAAAATGAAATTACTTCGCGGCACACCTAAATCATTTCGCGACACACTAATGTGCCGCGGCACCCTGGTTGGGAACCACTGGACTCTAGAGGCATTGATTTGTTGGGAGCTGTGATAAAAATAACAAAGCGTCTTGGCTTGTCATTGGCAACTTTCGGAAATAACCACTGATGGCGCCTCATCAATAGTTGGGAAACAACATTTTTATTGTTCTAATAATTGTGAAAGTTTGGTGTGAGAGAAATATTTTTTATTTCATTAACTTGTAGTCAGTGTAGCAAAACTACAATATAACTACCATGTTAAGTGGCCCGCGCAATTATTAGTTAACTACATGTGGCCCTTTGGCCAAAAAGGTCGTAAGACCCTGGACTCTAAACCCTGAGGCCATTGAAAAATCGTCTATGTAAATTACTGAAGTGCGGAAATTTCTGTGGTGCCCATTTTCATTATTGTCACACGCACCTGGTTATATTGCTTAATGCGGTGAACCAGTGGTTCTCAACCTTTTACGCCTTTACGGCAACATGTCCTAGCAGCCCCAGCCTGCCGGTACTGTTTAGTCCTGTCTGCCAGCATCATCCAAGTCTTCATTAAGTTTCATTCAACGGCTCTTGCCCTAAACATAATACCCTACAATCTAATTTACAAACGTTATTGCGAATATTCTGCAACTTTGTGATTCTTCCGAAACTATGCCAGCAAAAAATGAATCAACTGAAAGTACCGCATGATTTGGGCACAGATAGCAAACGTCAGTTTCAGATGCCAGAACAGATGCGTCGTATGCCATGAAAATTACAAGATTGCAAAAAATCTAAGCCCGCGCTTCAGGCAAATACTTGCTTCACCTATGCAAGACAATGTTTGAATATTGTGACAAATACCCATGTATAGGCGAAAAACAAACATGGGTGGAAAAATGTTTAGAAATATTTCACGTTCAATATTATTCTGTTAATTGTAAATAAAATTGCAAGCTGGTTCATATTTTTTACACATTGCCATAAGTTTATAGGGTATATATTCCCGTAGTATGTAAATTGGGTTAGGGTTAAGCCATAACTAAACAAATATATAGGAAAAGTCCTACCGTACAGATGCGCGACATTCGTGTCTATTTATCTGAGTATTGTTCTTGTATTTTGTTACATAATGCATTTGAAGTTTTTTTTCATGGTAAAATATATGTTTCTCAAATGACCGAACCCAAGTAATTTTTGAGTTTTGTAAATGGATCTTAGGTGAAAATAGTTGACTAGGCCAGTTATAAATGATAGAAAATGTACATTAATATCCAATATTAAAAACAAAATCAGTTTGCCGATACCAACGTGTTATGGTACCACGAACTCAATAAATATTTAAACGTTTTAGATCAAATGAAGGAAAATATGAAACACGTGCTTTATATTTCTTAGTATAGAGGTCCTGGGTTTTTATTTTTACTATTTTAATTATAATCGAAATATTCAATACGATTGCTGATAGTTTTTGAAAAAGAAATCTGTATTTTAATTAAATCGAAACCATGCGCAATTCATCGAGTAATTTGAACTAAACCAAATTAAAACTGAAACCAAATTTAAAATGGAAGACTTTACTTCTAAGGGTCACCATAATTATTATTATACATAAAAACATCAAATTGATGACAATTCTTATAACAACTTTTTTTACAAAATTAACAAATGAAGAACACAATGGCACTAATGGGTAATATATAACCTCTCTTGTGATTCTCGTACGCTCTGCAGAATATATATGGGATTACATTGTAGTCTACTTATGTGTCATATATAGTTGTTTAGCCTAATTAGCTTAAGCAAGATCAGTGTTTCAATAATAAAACTTATTCATATATAAAATTAATTCCTGTTCTTTCCATTTTTTCTTCCACTTGTCTGTCTATTTCACTAGATTGCATAGCAGTAAAATAATTCTTCCATTTGCCAATAATTCCTGAAATAAGAGTTACTGTATAAAAAAGGAAATTTTATACAAATAACCAAAGTGCTAGAAACCAATATATATTCTCTACAAACTATTGTGATTAATACATTTACTAAGATAAAAGTAATGCAGAAACCGCATTCATATGTACCTGTCATACACATTTTAGTGGAATGGCGAAACATTGCATCTTCTGATTTCGATGCCATATCAGATTTTCTCCTGTTATCAATTGAACATTTTTTAACTATTTCATTGATTTCGTCATCTAATAGTTCAACTCCCAGAAATTGTGACAACTTTTTTCATGAGGACTCTGGATAGAAAGCAAAACCGAACTCTAATTGAAAGAATTATGTGTTACAACAATTGGAAATACGATAATTAGAAGTAGCAATTCGAAATGACCAATTATGCTTTTTCAATATCAAATTACTTTAATATATTAGAAATTAGGTTACCCTAATCATTTCTTCATACACCATCAATATTGCGTTGTTGTTGTTTTTTATATGCGCCAGCCAAAATAGGATGTGATCGAAATATGTTTCTTCTTTTTGCAGGCCAAAGGGATACGGCTATTAATAAAGAAATCAAATGCATAATTATTCAATTCAATTTCAAATGCTATTCTCACGGTCTCCAATCTGCATCTCCAGTCCAATATTTGCTGTTTCCTAATACAATTTGCATGCTGAGCGTTTTTCAGCTGCTCCCACTCAAAAGTTGCTATTTTTTTACAGTAAATCCTTTGTAGAATGCTGTTGCTTGTTCACAGAATGTGGAAACAAATACCTTTTATTGCTTCTTCAAAATATTTGTTCCAATCGTTGATTGTAAATCTCGCTAGCTCGCCCTCGTTAGGAAATTCTTTTATGAAATTGAAGAACGAAACAAGCCTTCCTTCGGATTTCGTAATGTATAAACAATCTGAAAATAAAACACAAATATTTTTTTCACTGCTTCTTTATTTATACCTTGCAAAGTGAACACTTTTGATGCCGTTGTTACAAAAATGTACAAATCTGAAAGTTTGTTAGATACCGACACATAAAATTTTTTCACTAACCCTCATGTGATTTCGTAGCTGCACGCAACTCGAAATTTGATGTAAATTCTCAGTGAAACGCTTATCCCCAATTCTCTTTTATGAGAGCGTTCAAAACTATCAACTCATCTTGCATAGCCAGTGTACATATGCACGTAGATACTGGGGAAATGATGTTGAGGCTGATTGACGCCATCACACCTGGTTTCAACTTCTTCCCGGGAAATGATTGAAATATGTGAGAAAAACTTATCAATGATGAAACTTCGCCTATAAAATATTACTTCTACTGCCTAAGGCCCAAAATGTGTATCTTACAACAAAACACCAATCTTGAACTTTAGTTCTCCGTATCTAGAGAATGGTTAAGCGCTAATTGTAGCTATAATTCCCTTCAGATTTAACGTTTTTTCGACGTTTTTCTAACAAACCAATACTACAATCAATATGATAGTTAACATCGTTACCGAGAAATTCAATACTCCAGTCAAAATACAACGAATTTAACTGATTTCGTTAATAACAGTCGCTATTGCCAATTTCAGTACCGGGATTAGACAGCTGAGAGTACGGACGCTCAGATAAGACCATCGGCAGAATTTAGGTTAAACGTTTTCTTTTTATTTTTTAATATGTATTTGTATATAGTGGTGACAATTATGAATCGTCGGGACTTGAAAGTGCAATAAGTATGCACGCTTTACTACATTATTTGTATTTCACTAATCTTATTTATATCAAGTTCGGTTATCGTCGAAATTCTCAGTTAAAGGTCGCAATCTACCAATCGCTATCGCCAAAATAAGTGATACTTTTGCCTGTGTTAAATAAACATTTCTATTTAACTGATGACTTGGTTTGCAGTAGTTAATGTTGCAGTTAAACACATTTGTGTCTAGCACAGAGTTAGCTACTGACATGACCTATTTATCGCTATTCTCAGCATTTTCTTGTCTGATTATCCAACACAACGATAATAGCTAAATAGCACAGCACTATAATAGCTAAAAACGTTGACGAGAAATTCAAAATTGTTTCAAGGATGTCACAAATTTCGCTACTGTTTTTGTCAAATTGTTACCTCGAAAAAAGCTTCAAAATCCAACGAGTATCAGTATTGTCAATGACAATACACTTCATTCAGTGGTACGCTAATGCAAAGTCTATTGTTGCTATTGTGTGATTAAAAAGAAATATAACTACAGTAACTACCCGTCTTGAAATCATGCTCCGCGACATGCGACAGACTGTGCCTATTGTCATCAAGAAAACTACCAAAGATTGCGGGAATGTGAAAGAGACCATGGCAGCAGAGGTCAATAAAAAAACGGAATGAAGTGACCGGAAGCATTAGTGCACATCAACAGCCTCAACCTAAAATTGTTTTTGCCGTATGAAGGAAGCGATTGTACCGGAAACAGACGTCCACTGTGTGTACATTTGGAACCTGTCAGATTTTCTAGAATAATGATATGAATTCGAACTTTTTCGAATCAATTATCGGATTTCCTATATTTCTCACACGTAAACCAGTGCGCGTGTAATCTCTCATGAATACTACGATTCAGAAGAAAAGACCTGCGTGCACTGTGTAAAATGCCTTTTTAGAAAAACGAGCCTAACTCAAATCGAAAATGCACTTACAATAATCTTCTCAGAAAAGTCTTCAAAGACAGGTTTATGGGTTTATTTATTAGAAAAAAGTGTACGTCCCTGCGCTAGAAAACGCCCACAACGAGAAAATACCCAAAGCTTTAAGAATCCCCAACCCGTCATGACTGGGCAGCAATTGAACATTTTTTTTAAATTTGATTGAGAGATTTATTATATTTAAAAAAAATTTACTCATGTTGCATGTCATGAAGGTTAAAATCCCGATGATACCATATATGGCATTCAACATATACTTTGCAATATCAGGTACTGAGTCTGTAATCTTTTCTCAGGTACATTATAAAAATCGTTAGTTTGATACCTCTGTTACGAATTCAACAAGTTTTCCGTATATGTTACAGAAAGATTTCCAGTAAACGGAATGAAGATTTTAATATTATGTTCAGAAATATGATTTTAACATATTTCCAAAAATGTAGTGTGAGTCACCCGATTATCGAAAATTTATATTCGAAAGAAATTTGTTCTCACATATTTCATCAGTTCAAGTAGGAAGCAAATGATAAATCCAAATGAATACCAACAGCGAATATGGGTGTTGGTATCGAAACTGTCAGTTTCGCATAACGACGTAATCATGACTTGTTAGCTTTCAGTTTATTCAGTTCAACGTTTCCCAAACATTTTTTTGCCGCGGAACACCCACGCTTTTTATCTCACCTCGCGGAACAACAAGAAATGAGGAGGTAAAATTGATTTAAAAATATTGTGTATTCAAAAATTTATTTTGGATTTACTTTGAGCATCAACTTGCACAACCGGCTATTCACGACATCTTTGAGGCCAATATCGTCCCCTGAGAAGGGTGATTTTCAAACATTCAGCCTATACTATAGTATAATTGAATTTTAATTTAGCCTAGTATAATTGAAAAGTTTGCCGTAAACTGGACAACTAAAAAATCAGGCCGATGATTAACAATATTGAAAGGAGGACAAAATGCAATGCTTTCAAGACTGACTCGAGACGTGTCCGCCTGTTCAGATAACAAGGCCTTTCCACCTGTTTGGAGACAAAGTTATGACCCCGAGGCGTCGAAGTACGGCCGAAATCGCTATTGCGACCAATGTAGTAGCAATTCCGATCCCTGTTCCGCGAAACACTACGAAGAAACTCGCCGAGCATCTGTTTTTTGCAAAACACAGTTTGAGAAACGCCGCTTTATATTGAATGAAATACGTCAGTGGAATAATCTGAATCAGGGTGGTTCAAACCCAGGCCCGCGGGCCACATGTGGCTCCATTATCTGTGGCTCGCTAAGCTTTCAGAGGGTAATCAAAAAATCGCATTTGGTGCTATTTCGTCATAAAATTAATCTGAAAAATCTTTGGACTATTGTTACACCACTGATGTCCCTGAATTGATTAGTGTTATGGTTAGTGCTCTGGTTAGCTGAGTCAACTAGCGAAGTTGAATGATGTGCTTGACAGTTCAAATTGTTATCTGACTTTCTATCTTTTTGTCGGGAATATGTGCACACAATTTTGGCATCAATAGAAAACTAAAAATCGAATGCGGATTCTATTAGCATATAGGTTGGCTATGCCAGGTAACTAAATATTAATGTTATACTCTAACAATACAATTCATGCCGGATATTTTTAGCAATCAGCCTGAACAGCATTACAAAAAATGCTGCCTATATGTCAACAAAAAAGAGATAATTATCCTCCTGTACATCAAATTTGGTAATGAGCAATGAGCATTTTCCAACGTTAAGATTTTGCTTCGTAAATCTTATCGACGTTCGAAAGTCCTTACATTTGTAGAAGCAAATTTTCCGGTGTGAAGAGTTTGAAATCTTACACTAAATGTGGATATAGAAACACTTTTGCGAGTTTTAGTAAGTTTTTTGGTGGTTTTTGCAAGTTTCATGTTGTTGGCCGCGAACAATGCAAAAATTATTTTGTGGCCCCTGGAGCAGACCAACTTGGACCACCCTGAATTCTGTATCATAAATAGCCATTTACAGAAGTACTGCTGCTATGTACAGTATTCAAAATACTTATTGCTATAAACAACTACGACCACAACCAATGGTGTAAGCACCAAGAACTAGCCATCCCACAAAGCTTAACAAAATGGGATTGCTAGAAACATTTATTTCCTCCTTATGAGGGTTTAATCAATGCCAAAAATACAACTGTGAAACTGATTTACATTGTGAAAAATATTTTATGGTAGAAGCGGTTTGTTAACGACAATCGGAAAAGGTTTTAGTTTATGATATCTCTTTTTGAAGGCCTTTCATTGGGGATTAGTTCAAAATGAATTGCTTCAAAACAATTGTTTTAAATCAAGTTTTTTTTGCCTGTTTCGTTCAATATGGCTGTACTATTTGATTTTTTTGTTTTAAATAGGTTGAAGAAAAATGGACGTCAAAACTTGCCGAGCGCTTCTAATTTGCAATAAATCTTTCAAAACGTCACAAATATCGATAGAGGCTCATGTACACCTTCCCAAACTGTAGTTCAGTGGTTGGCGCAGTAAGACGCAACCGATAAGCCATTAAGTGAACGACCCTGCTGCGATAAAACCACCTTGCGAAAATTGAAATGCGATCGAATAAATTAAACTCTATCACTTCAACCTTAAGAACAAAGCATGCTAAGCATAAATTAACCGAACAGTATTAACCGTAACAAGCCTTCATTTTATGAGGAAAATGTCAATACATGAACTCGAAATCTATATAACGGCGTCATAACAGATTAGTTGTGGTGTCTTTGCATCAGAGGACTCCTACAATTAGCATAGGCTAGGCTAGGGTGTCTCGTCGTTTATATCAGTCGATTACCGCCGATATAAGTATATTCTTCATTATCGCAACCCACTCGTTTTGCCGAAGGGCTGCACTTATTGATCTAATTGCTAATTTTCATGTTTTTTTTCACTCAAAACGTCTCTCTGATATCTCGGCTAAACATTCCGGGTATAATCTTATGACTTTGGTGGAGATACAAAAGTGGCAATAAATGTACGCAATAGAAGTAAAAGTCAAATTAAAAAATTTTATTTACATTTTTGAAATTATAATTCCGGCTGCGTGTGCAGCTGCCAGAATGCAACGTTTTGGCGTAGTTTCGCGGCAATGCAATGGGTATTTCAACAAAAAATACAGAAAAAATTTGATTCAAAACAAGCCCTTGTTTTAAAACACAATGTTTTTTTTAGAATTGATAAAAAACAAAACCTTACTTTTCATGCTTCAAGACAACAAACGACAAAGGAAACGGTTGTTGCACGTTCGTTTCCTATGCAAGGGAGATAAATTCAGCGGATCATTGACATCGACGTTGACTTCGAATTGAGTTCACATCGCGCTTCATCATTTTCAGACATTTTGCAAACCTCGTGTAAAAATGAAGTAGTTTAAAGGTTAGGTTTGAAGGTTAAGGTTAGGTTTGAAGGTTAAGTAGTTGAGGATTGCTTTTATGACAAATAAAACATTTTCAGAAATATTGTACAAAAATGCAGTTTTGCGAGGATTTTCGTTACCAAATGATTAAAAAAATCTCTAAATCTATCATATTGTTTCGTCATCTGTCCCAAATATTACTGCGACCTAATTTCTGATTTGATAGGATTAATTACATCGGTGATGCAGATTATTTTCTACATTTGAAATACTTTTACTGAAAAGTAAGGCTTCGCCAATCCCAATATATATGAAGAAAAATACAGGACAATAATTAATCTTTAAAACCAACTAAGCATGCTTCAAATTCTTAATTTGAACAATCTTCTAGCTATTGTTTTAAGTGTGAAATTAATAAAATGAATGAAAATGGACATCATGCAGACAATTCAAACGATGAATCAGGAAGCTTTACAAGAACAGGAATGAATTACAACGAGTTTCGAAGTGCAGCTCAAGAAATAGTTGATTATATAATAAATTATCACCAAAATCTAGAGGGAAAGCAAGCTTTTCCTTCAGTGAAGCCAGGTGAGAAAATTTAAATGTGAATATTTTGTGTTGGCCATAGCAGTGTGTATCTTAAATCGTTTCAATTCACCATTTGGGTGTGATTTGATTTGTATTTCTACGTGCAGTAAAAAAGCCCTGTTGCGACATACCCGTGTTTTTCATTTTAGGTTTCCTAAGAAAGCTTCTGCCCTGGAATCCGCCAGAGCATGGTGGCCAATGGGAAGATTTACTTGAAGATTTCGATAAAATCATTATGAAGGGAATGACACATTGGCATTCGTCCAAGTTTTTCGCATATTTACCAACAGGAAATAGCTATCCATCACTTCTAGCCACTATGTTGGTTGATGGATGTGGAAGTCTAGCTTTCAGCTGGGTGATAATTATATATATATATATATAAAATTATGTGTGTTTTTCTTGTATGAAATCCAATATAATTCACGCAATTAAGATTTTAGTACGGCACGGTATACGTGATACAAACAAGGTGTTTATTTTTTTCAGGCTACGAGTCCTTCTTGCACAGAACTAGAAACCATGATGTTGGACTGGCTGGCGAAAGCTATAAACCTTCCTGCATGTTTTATTCATGATGGCGTTGGTCCTGGGTGCGGAGTGATTCTAGGTAAAACGAAAATGTAATAAATCATGTCAATTTTTCTGTTACCTTCGTAATGAAACATGATATATGATATGATAAATTTGTAGTAATGTTCTCAAAGCTTTTTCCACTTTATCATTTTTAGAAAACTTCTATTAAGTCACGCTTGTCGCGTATACCTAGTGAGAAGTGATTTTGCCATATGTTTATAGCCTGTACTATATTACTATTACGTTAATTAGAAATATATTCTTACTTTACTACCATGTACGATGCGAAGGATATTAATATCATCCTTAGTCATATTCTATATGTTCAGGTGATAACGATTATTAGTAGATGGTAATTTCATTCGAACGTTAATCAATAAAAACTATCATAGTTATTTAATAAGAACCATTTTTGATAGCACAACGTTATCGACTGGCGGGATTTCTCAATAACTCAATATCATTTATTACCTATTAGAAAATTTCTAACAAATAAGAAACAGATTCACACTACGATTACTTTCCACAAATTCAAAGTTTGTAAATATGTATAGTACTGACATATTTATTTATCGAAAAAATAAATACGAAACATAAAGAAACCAGTCATTTGTTTCAGATGGATGGACGTGATAACCGATAATACAGAAATTACCACATAGTGGAAATTGTTAATTGTGAACTGATGTGCTATCAATCTTTGACAGGGTCATGTAGCGAAGGTACATTGATGACGTTGTTGTCTGCAAGGAATAATGCGTTGAAGAAACTTCGCTTAATATATCCTGATGTCTCTCAGTATGAACTTGCATCACGATTAGTTGCATATACTTCGGAATACAGTCATTCTTCGGTTGAGAGAGCAAGTGAGTAAAAATTTTAATATTTCATAGAGTAATCATCATCTAGATTTAGAACAGGGTGGTCCAAACCCAGGCCCGCGGGCCACAAGTGGCCCGCTGCTTCATTATCTGTGGCCCGCGTCGCAATATTCGGAGGAACGAAAAATGACATTTGGTGTTGTTTCGTCATAAAAATAACCAGAAAAATTCTTTGTCATTTTGTTACATCACTAATGTTACTGAATTAAAAACCTTCTGTACCTCACATTTGGTAATCAATCAATCTGCAGTTATTTGTAGGTTATTTTGTAAACATGAGTTTGAAAGCTGACCAATTCATAGATTTTTGACTGGATATGGGTGGAGAAATACCACAATGCTTGCTTAATATATCTGCAAGTTGTTTTGGTGACGACATTTTCGCCTTATGACCTAACAGTGTTTGACAACGGTGTTTGTTTTGTATTGCACTGTTTACCTATTCTTGGCATTATTGTGGCCCGCGAACAATACAAAAATAATAGCGTGGCCCGCGAGGCCGACAACCTTGGACCACCCTGATCTAGAAGTTTGTCATCTTGAAACGGAAATTTGGTATTTTGTATAGGTTTATTAGGATTCACAAAACTTCATAAAGTACCAGTGGATGAAATTGTTTCAATGCGTGGGGATGCTTTACAACGAGCAATAAAAGAAGACAAGAAGGCTGGGAAATTTCCTTTCTATGTAAGAGACAGTTTGGTATTTTTGACTTATTTGTTGCTAAATTTTGTGTCAACATATCAGTTTTAGAAAAAAAAAATGAATCCATATTTAGTTTTGAGTTTGTCTTTTCCTTAGAAAATTACCATGCATTCAAGGTTACAATTTTGAATCAAATAACAGAGGTAGATGAGAATGACAACATTTTTCAAAATTAATTTGGAAAATGATTTTCAGACATTTAGTTTTAAGTTTTAGCGTGTGTTTTCTATATCAAAAGTCTGACCTGTCGCTTTGAAATACGATCAGTTCTAATATAATTCGATTTCTGGTTGAAATTAATGAGTTAAAATTTAAAATATAAAGATACCAACTGAAATGGCAATACGTTTTATGTCAACTTAAAATTAGACCGCTGGGGAAAATTTAAAACAAGTAACTTTTTTGTTAAGGTGTGTGCAACGCTGGGAACGACGTCATGTGTTTCATTCGACAACCTTGACGAAATTGGACAAGTTTGTAGGAAATTTAACTTGTTCGACATTTGTTTCCATAACGTTATCTGACGGATTTTTTTGCAATATCAAATTATAGGAATATCTTGAGTAATAATAACAAATCTGAAACAGAAAACTTTATTTTCCATTTCAGTATGTACAAGGGGCACAGCTGTTTTGGCTATGTGTGATGAATTTTTTTTATAATGTAAAAGTAAACAAAGAACTACTTTATAGGCAAGTTCAAAATACCAGTAACAACTTAAAAATTTATCAGGTCAAGCAGAAGATGTATTTTGGTTGCATGTTGATGCCTCTTATGCCGGAGGCAGCTTCATTTGTCCGGAATTTCGTCACCATATGAAAGGAATAGAGGTTAATTACTTATTGCACTAAATACCTCATTTTGTTCAGTTTTAGACTATTTAATGATTTTTGTGGAATGTATTGAATATCGACAAAATTGACGTTGAACTTTATTTCATTTAACATTTCACAAATGACCGCATTTATTTTTAGTGTGTTGAACCACTTTTCGTACGTTAAAGAAATTGTCAAAATAAAGTCCATTTTCTATGCTATTGATAAGCTGATGTATTTGAAAATATACAATTTTTTTTTTACAAAATCTTTCTCCGTTAAGTTCTATTTCTAAATCTATCTTTTTCAGTATGCAGATTCCATCACATGTAATCCCCAAAAGTGCTTGATGATTAACCCTCAGTTTTCGGTTCTTTGGTAAGCAGAATAAATGAAGTGTTAAAAATCGTGATAGTGGGCTCGCAAATGCTTCGTTAAATATATTAGCACATCAAAATCCTGTAGTCAATATTTCTAAATATATAGCAGAGAAGCGGATAGTATCGCCTCTAAACGTTGCCTTTAAAAAGTAACTTTTGGCAGATTTTAATTAAAAAATGCGAGTATTTAATTTTAAAAACCATTTATAAAATAAAATAAAATGAAAATGCTGTTTAAATTAATGACTCTGCAAACTATGAAAAATATCAACATTTGATCTCTTATTTGAAATACAATTGTAAAATGGAGAAGAAGAATTAAATATTAACTTGGACCAAAATGAAAAGAGTTTTGCGCAGTAAAATTCATCAACAACTATAATCTAGCACAACTACAAGGAAAAATCCAAATTTTGGGTCGATATGCAGGAATAAGCTCGTGAATGGTTGATGCATTTAGAAAAATAATACTAATTACCTAATAAAGTTATTTTTATACCACTAGGGTGAAAGATAGAAAAACGTATTCAGAACCTTTCAAAGTTGACCCGAGTTACGTTCGAAACGGGGAAGAGGACGTCGTAATTGATAATCGGGTAAAATGATATATGAGATAAATAACATTAATAAAATTTTCAAAACACTTACTTTTTTCACTTACATTTTAAACAGAAATTGTGTACTACATTCTAATTCACTAGGTTATTGACTTCAATTTTCTAAATTATGAATAATTTTCTTTAAAAAATATCTGTAAAATTTAGCCCATATTTTAATCATACTACGATGACCATGAAAATGCTGGAAGCCAGATAGATATTAATTCTATACTCAATAAAAAGTAAACAAGGATATTCTGTTTTATTGAACGAAATCACAAACTGATTGTTTACTTCTGTCTTGGTTTCTATGTTAACTAATATGAAACATATTGCATTCAGCACATGGGTGTTGGATTCGGGCGGCGATTTCGTTCGCTCAAACCGTGGTTTGTTTTTCGTCTAATTGGAATCGAAGGTCTTCGCCACAGAGTAAGAGGAGACGTGAAAATGGCCAAACTATTTGAATCTCTTGTCAATACTGACGATCGGTTTGAAGTTGTTTTTCCGGTGGAATTGGGAGTTGTGTGTTTCCGACTGATAATTTACAAAAACGACACAGAGGTATGGGACTTAATACTGAACATTGTAGGCTCATTTTTGCTTTATTTTGATCTCATTAAAACAAATTTCTAAATTAAACATTAGGTTTTTGTTGTCCTCGCTTATTTAATTATTCCACCTGAGTAAACAAAAGTATCCCACTAACCTAAAGGCCTAAATGAACTTTCATTGAAACGCTTTATTCACATATTTAATTTTTGTCCATATATACTCTTATTTCAGAAAAGTAACACAATCAACAGACAGCTACTCAAGCAAATCAAGGATTCAAAAGATGTCTTCTTGATATCATCAGAAGTTGCAGAAACTTTTTTCTTCGATTATGCACCGGTTTTAATGCGTGTAACGAAAACGCAATCCATAACTGCTGGAACGTCATTTTAAAACACACTAATTTAATATTGTAGGATTTGTTCAATGTACTAAATATTACAGATTGCTAGATTAGAGATAGAGAAATTGCTATATTCAAATACGAGAAAAACAAAGTGAATGAATATTTGAATTATACCTTGGATCGTTAAAAAGGGATAATCAACATAATCAGAAGTGGAAATGGAATTTAATACAAAGTATATTAGCAGTTATTGCTGCGTGATTAAATTTGTTTTCAATCATAAATAGCCCGACTGAGTTGAGATGAAGATAGAAATAAATTCATTTTTCAGTAATTAACGAACTATATATGACGTTGCTGAATACGTTTTTCTATTTTTCACCCTAGTGGTATAAAAGTAACTTTATTAAGTAATTAGTACTATTTTTCTAAATGCATCAACAATCCACGATCTTATTCCTGCATATCGACTTAAAATTTGGATTTTTCCTTGTAGTTGTGCTAGATTATAGTTGTTGATGAATTTTACTGCGCTCTTGTCATTTCAGTCCAAGTTAATATTTAATTCTTTTTCAATTGTATTTCAAATAAGAGATACTTGTTGATATTTTCAAAGTTTGCAAAGTCATTATTTTTAACAGCAATTTCACTTTATTTTATAAATGGCTTTCAAAATTAAATAATCGCATTTTTTAATTAAAATCTGCCAAACGTTACTTTTTGAAAGCGTGGTTGTTGTTTAGCAACGACGAATTCGAGAAACCCATTGGGTACATGCAGAAAGAATGACATATACGAAACCGCACTTTATTGCCGTATAAAATTGGCAAATTGCAACCCTGTACCCAAAAAAGTCTAAACCTAGACTCTAAGAAACTATTACCGCCAATCGCCCAACATTACATTTCACTACCATGTGCCGGTGATATAGTTTATAATCAGTGTTTTAGTTTATTGAACATAAAAAGAGAGCACTATGAATCACCTGCGAAATTTTTCTTTTTAAATAAATGTAAACGTGAAATAAATGCTTTAAAATTAAAAAAGGAGATAGGAAAAAATTGTACAGTGAAAAATTAGGAACGTGAGGTAGACAAAAATTCCCCATTAATTAAAGTCTTTATTCATAGACCCCTTCGCACACAGTCACTCCACTCATTCTTCTTGGAGCAGTTTATGTAGAGATTTCTAAAGACATTGTTCCTGGTTGTTACAATCGCATCGATGATTTGAGTAGGAATTGTTTTTTATGAAAATTGAATGAAAAAGCTACCAAGATTCATTGGTATTTATGATCCAATTTATTGGTATTTTACAAACATATTGTTTTTGTTCACGAGTGAGCAATAAAGAAAATCTTACTTTGAATATTTGAAACCAAGCGGTTGCACTGGCAGCAAAATAACAAAACAACAAAATTTCTCGTTTGCGGACCTGATTTAGCCTGCAAAGTACCAAGGTCAACTTATTCGAATGTAACTTATTCAATAAAGCTATAAACAGTGAAATATCATTGAATCTACTTCGGTTGGCAAGAACGAAAAATCTTTTAATTTTTCATATACAGAAAGGTATTAAATCCAACTTAGGCATATTTTACGATGCCGATAATGCAAAAAGAAAAATTCATGTGCTATGAACTCATAGTACGTGAGCATCATGTCCTCTTCAATACTACATTTAGAGATGCCAAAGTAGATTTTGGACATGCTGTTGTTTGTATGGTCGTTGTATGATGGGCGAAAGTTTATTGTCTGTCGTTAAACGACGAGTAACGAGAGCAACGCCTCGACTATCCGTCCATACCCCCACGTCTTTGATAGACACGTTAAATTAATGAGTAGCTTATATAGTAAATTAGCCTACACAATAAATGTCCTGAACAAGTGTGTAACTTAGTTAAATTATTTTAAAACTTATTTGTCAATGTGATATGGCTTGAGGCTATTTAACTCAATTATGTCCGGTAAAAAAAAACAAGTTATGACGGTTTATAACAATTCTAAGAAAGTTTAATTTTACTGGTTCAATATTATTAATTTGAAACACAACGGTAAAATCTTACTAAAATTTCAAAATTATCCCCAAGTACCCTCTACCGCTTCAATACTACCCTCCACTTCAAAAGGGTTTACGATAGACTCAAAGCATTCACGTTCGTCCAAACGCAATTTCAATAAATAACTCAGAACATTGCCTAATGCAAAAGCCTAATTCGCTCCTCATCGTACCCATATCCCAACCATTAGGCTTGGCTATAGCCTTAGTACAGAAATGAAGCCCATCGAATTTTTCCGGTTGTCGTTATGGCTTAATCATAACGCCACATGCACTAGCGTAACCTTTCGCCAAATGAGTAGACAAACTCACCGGGTATAATATGGGCATGGTAGTTGGAGACTCCGTTTTCTACTTCGGCCTATATATTTTGCTGATTATATTTGCAATGCTACTAACAATACAATGCATATTTTCGACATAAGCCACTTGTTTAGTTACATTAGTATGATAATTTATTGTGTGGCACTGATAGTGTTGTAATACAATCAGACATATTTTGTGGAACGGTTTACTCTCAAAATCTTGGAACCGAGTTTTAAATAATCGGCCAAGGACGAAGTGGTGTTATTTATCACACTAACGACCGATTTATTGGTTAGTGGATCTATGAATCGCTTTGCTAAATTCATTTTAATTCGTTAAACTCTTTTGAAATATGGGTCATCATTTGTATACGCTCTTTTTTAGAAGAAAAGTCGACACAAGCTCAGATGTATAGGGAAAGCCCTTCCGTACAGATTCCCGACATTTGTGTCTATTTATCTGAGTATTGTTCTTGTATTGTGTTACATAATGCATTTGGAGTTTTAATTCATAGTAAAATATATATATGTTTCTCAAATGACCGAGCCCAAGTAATTTCAAGTTCTGTAAACGGATCTTAAGTGAAATTAGTTGACTAAGCCTGCTATAATAAAGGATGGAAAATGTTCGTTATTATTCGATTTGAAAAACGAAATCAGTTTGCCGATACCAACGTGTTATGATACCACGAACTCAATAAATATTTAAACGTATTAGATCAAATTGATGAAAATATGAAAACATGTGCTTTATATTTCTTAGTATACTATAGTATAGAGGTTCATGGTTTTTATTTTTACTATTTTAATTGTAACTGAAATATTCAATACGATTGCTGATAGTTATTGAAAATGAAATCTCTATTTTAATCAAATCGAAACCATGCGCAATTCATCGAGTAATTTGAACTAAACCAAATTAAAACTGAAACCAAAATTAAAATGAAAGACTTTATTTCTAACGGTCACCATAATTATTATTATACATAAAAAACATCAAATTAATGACTGTTCTTATAACAACTTTTGTTACGGAATTAACAATTGGAGAACACAAGGGTAATATATAATCTCTCTTGTGATTCTCGTACGCTCTGCATAATATATATGGGATTACATTGTAGTCTACTTATGTCATATAGTTGTTTAGCCTAATTAACTTAAGCAAGATCAGTGTTTCAATGATAAAACTTATTCATATATAAAATTAATTCCTGTTCCTTCCATTTTTTCTTCCACTTGTCCGTCTATTTCACTAGATTGCTCAGCAGTAAAATAATTCTTCCATTTGCCAATAATTCCTGAAATAAGAGTTACTGTATGAAAAAGGAAATTTTATACAAATAACCAAAGTGCTGGAAACCAATATATATTCTCTACAAACTATTGTGATTAATACATTTACTAAGATAAAAGTAATGCAGAAACCGCATTCATATGTACCTGTCATACACATTTTAGTGGAATGGCGAAACATTGCATCTTCTGATTTCGATGCCATATCAGATTTTCTCATGGTATCAATTGAACATTTTTTAACTATGTCATTGATTTCGTCATCTAATAGTTCAACTCCCAGAAATTGTGACAACTTTTTTCATGAGGACTCTGGATAGAAAGCAAAACCGAACTCTAATTGAAAGAATTATGTGTTACAACAATTGAAAATACAATAATTAGAAGTAGCAATTCGAAATGACCAATTATGCTTTTTCAATATCAAATAACTTTAATATATTAGAAATTAGGTTACTCTAATCATTTCTTCATACACCATCAATATTGCGTTGTTGTTGTTTTTAATATGAGGCAGCCAAAATAGGATGTGATCGAAATATGTTTCTTCTTTTTGCAGGCCAAAGGGATACGGCTATTAATAAAGAAATCAAATGCATAATTATTCAATTCAATTTCAAATGCTATTCTCACGGTCTCCAATCTGCATCTCCAGTCCAATATTTGCTGTTTCCTAATACAATTTGCATGCTGAGCGTTTTTCAGCTGCTCCCACTCAAAAGTTGCTATTTTTTTACAGTAAATCCTTTGTAGAATGCTGTTGCTTGTTCACAGAATGTGGAAACAAATACCTTTTATTGCTTCTTCAAAATATTTGTTCCAATCGTTGATTGTAAATCTCGCTAGCTCGCCCTCGTTAGGAAATTCTTTTATGAAATTGAAGAACGAAACAAGCCTTCCTTCGGATTTCGTAATGTATAAACAATCTGAAAATAAAACACAAATATTTTTTTCACTGCTTCTTTATTTATACCTTGCAAAGTGAACACTTTTGATGCCGTTGTTACAAAATGTACAAATCTGAAAGTTTGTTAGATACCGACACATAAAATTTTTTCACTAACCCTCATGTGATTTCGTAGCTGCACGCAACTCGAAATTTGATGTAAATTCTCAGTGAAACGCTTATCCCCAATTCTCTTTTATGAGAGCGTTCAAAACTATCAACTCATCTTGCATAGCCAGTGTACATATGCACGTAGATACTGGGGAAATGATGTTGAGGCTGATTGACGCCATCACACCTGGTTTCAACTTCTTCCCGGGAAATGATTGAAATATGTGAGAAAAACTTATCAATGATGAAACTTCGCCTATAAAATATTACTTCTACTGCCTAAGGCCCAAAATGTGTATCTTACAACAAAACACCAATCTTGAACTTTAGTTCTCCGTATCTAGAGAATGGTTAAGCGCTAATTGTAGCTATAATTCCCTTCAGATTTAACGTTTTTTCGACGTTTTTCTAACAAACCAATACTACAATCAATATGATAGTTAACATCGTTACCGAGAAATTCAATACTCCAGTCAAAATACAACGAATTTAACTGATTTCGTTAATAACAGTCGCTATTGCCAATTTCAGTACCGGGATTAGACAGCTGAGAGTACGGACGCTCAGATAAGACCATCGGCAGAATTTAGGTTAAACGTTTTCTTTTTATTTTTTAATATGTATTTGTATATAGTGGTGACAATTATGAATCGTCGGGACTTGAAAGTGCAATAAGTATGCACGCTTTACTACATTATTTGTATTTCACTAATCTTATTTATATCAAGTTCGGTTATCGTCGAAATTCTCAGTTAAAGGTCGCAATCTACCAATCGCTATCGCCAAAATAAGTGATACTTTTGCCTGTGTTAAATAAACATTTCTATTTAACTGATGACTTGGTTTGCAGTAGTTAATGTTGCAGTTAAACACATTTGTGTCTAGCACAGAGTTAGCTACTGACATGACCTATTTATCGCTATTCTCAGCATTTTCTTGTCTGATTATCCAACACAACGATAATAGCTAAATAGCACAGCACTATAATAGCTAAAAACGTTGACGAGAAATTCAAAATTGTTTCAAGGATGTCACAAATTTCGCTACTGTTTTTGTCAAATTGTTACCTCGAAAAAAGCTTCAAAATCCAACGAGTATCAGTATTGTCAATGACAATACACTTCATTCAGTGGTACGCTAATGCAAAGTCTATTGTTGGTATTGTGTGATTAAAAAGAAATATAACTACAGTAACTACCCGTCTTGAAATCATGCTCCGCGACATGCGACAGACTGTGCCTATTGTCATCAAGAAAACTACCAAAGATTGCGGGAATGTGAAAGAGACCATGGCAGCAGAGGTCAATAAAAAAACGGAATGAAGTGACCGGAAGCATTAGTGCACATCAACAGCCTCAACCTAAAATTGTTTTTGCCGTATGAAGGAAGCGATTGTACCGGAAACAGACGTCCACTGTGTGTACATTTGGAACCTGTCAGATTTTCTAGAATAATGATATGAATTCGAACTTTTTCGAATCAATTATCGGATTTCCTATATTTCTCACACGTAAACCAGTGCGCGTGTAATCTCTCATGAATACTACGATTCAGAAGAAAAGACCTGCGTGCACTGTGTAAAATGCCTTTTTAGAAAAAACGAGCCTAACTCAAATCGAAAATGCACTTACAATAATCTTCTCAGAAAAGTCTTCAAAGACAGGTTTATGGGTTTATTTATTAGAAAAAAGTGTACGTCCCTGCGCTAGAAAACGCCCACAACGAGAAAATACCCAAAGCTTTAAGAATCCCCAACCCGTCATGACTGGGCAGCAATTGAACATTTTTTTAAAATTTGATTGAGAGATTTATTATATTTAAAAAAAATTTACTCATGTTGCATGTCATGAAGGTTAAAATCCCGATGATACCATATATGGCATTCAACATATACTTTGCAATATCAGGTACTGAGTCTGTAATCTTTTCTCAGGTACATTATAAAAATCGTTAGTTTGATACCTCTGTTACGAATTCAACCAGTTTTCCGTATATGTTACAGAAAGATTTCCAGTAAACGGAATGAAGATTTTAATATTATGTTCAGAAATATGATTTTAACATATTTCCAAAAATGTAGTGTGAGTCACCCGATTATCGAAAATTTATATTCGAAAGAAATTTGTTCTCACATATTTCATCAGTTCAAGTAGGAAGCAAATGATAAATCCAAATGAATACCAACAGCGAATATGGGTGTTGGTATCGAAACTGTCAGTTTCGCATAACGACGTAATCATGACTTGTTAGCTTTCAGTTTATTCAGTTCAACGTTTCCCAAACATTTTTTTGCCGCGGAACACCCACGCTTTTTATCTCACCTCGCGGAACAACAAGAAATGAGGAGGTAAAATTGATTTAAAAATATTGTGTATTCAAAAATTTATTTTGGATTTACTTTGAGCATCAACTTGCACAACCGGCTATTCACGACATCTTTGAGGCCAATATCGTCCCCTGAGAAGGGTGATTTTCAAACATTCAGCCTATACTATAGTATAATTGAATTTTAATTTAGCCTAGTATAATTGAAAAGTTTGCCGTAAACTGGACAACTAAAAAATCAGGCCGATGATTAACAATATTGAAAGGAGGACAAAATGCAATGCTTTCAAGACTGACTCGAGACGTGTCCGCCTGTTCAGATAACAAGGCCTTTCCACCTGTTTGGAGACAAAGTTATGACCCCGAGGCGTCGAAGTACGGCCGAAATCGCTATTGCGACCAATGTAGTAGCAATTCCGATCCCTGTTCCGCGAAACACTACGAAGAAACTCGCCGAGCATCTGTTTTTTGCAAAACACAGTTTGAGAAACGCCGCTTTATATTGAATGAAATACGTCAGTGGAATAATCTGAATCAGGGTGGTTCAAACCCAGGCCCGCGGGCCACATGTGGCTCCATTATCTGTGGCTCGCTAAGCTTTCAGAGGGTAATCAAAAAATCGCATTTGGTGCTATTTCGTCATAAAATTAATCTGAAAAATCTTTGGACTATTGTTACACCACTGATGTCCCTGAATTGATTAGTGTTATGGTTAGTGCTCTGGTTAGCTGAGTCAACTAGCGAAGTTGAATGATGTGCTTGACAGTTCAAATTGTTATCTGACTTTCTATCTTTTTGTCGGGAATATGTGCACACAATTTTGGCATCAATAGAAAACTAAAAATCGAATGCGGATTCTATTAGCATATAGGTTGGCTATGCCAGGTAACTAAATATTAATGTTATACTCTAACAATACAATTCATGCCGGATATTTTTAGCAATCAGCCTGAACAGCATTACAAAAAATGCTGCCTATATGTCAACAAAAAAGAGATAATTATCCTCCTGTACATCAAATTTGGTAATGAGCAATGAGCATTTTCCAACGTTAAGATTTTGCTTCGTAAATCTTATCGACGTTCGAAAGTCCTTACATTTGTAGAAGCAAATTTTCCGGTGTGAAGAGTTTGAAATCTTACACTAAATGTGGATATAGAAACACTTTTGCGAGTTTTAGTAAGTTTTTTGGTGGTTTTTGCAAGTTTCATGTTGTTGGCCGCGAACAATGCAAAAATTATTTTGTGGCCCCTGGAGCAGACCAACTTGGACCACCCTGAATTCTGTATCATAAATAGCCATTTACAGAAGTACTGCTGCTATGTACAGTATTCAAAATACTTATTGCTATAAACAACTACGACCACAACCAATGGTGTAAGCACCAAGAACTAGCCATCCCACAAAGCTTAACAAAATGGGATTGCTAGAAACATTTATTTCCTCCTTATGAGGGTTTAATCAATGCCAAAAATACAACTGTGAAACTGATTTACATTGTGAAAAATATTTTATGGTAGAAGCGGTTTGTTAACGACAATCGGAAAAGGTTTTAGTTTATGATATCTCTTTTTGAAGGCCTTTCATTGGGGATTAGTTCAAAATGAATTGCTTCAAAACAATTGTTTTAAATCAAGTTTTTTTTGCCTGTTTCGTTCAATATGGCTGTACTATTTGATTTTTTTGTTTTAAATAGGTTGAAGAAAAATGGACGTCAAAAACTTGCCGAGCGCTTCTAATTTGCAATAAATCTTTCAAAACGTCACAAATATCGATAGAGGCTCATGTACACCTTCCCAAACTGTAGTTCAGTGGTTGGCGCAGTAAGACGCAACCGATAAGCCATTAAGTGAACGACCCTGCTGCGATAAAACCACCTTGCGAAAATTGAAATGCGATCGAATAAATTAAACTCTATCACTTCAACCTTAAGAACAAAGCATGCTAAGCATAAATTAACCGAACAGTATTAACCGTAACAAGCCTTCATTTTATGAGGAAAATGTCAATACATGAACTCGAAATCTATATAACGGCGTCATAACAGATTAGTTGTGGTGTCTTTGCATCAGAGGACTCCTACAATTAGCATAGGCTAGGCTAGGGTGTCTCGTCGTTTATATCAGTCGATTACCGCCGATATAAGTATATTCTTCATTATCGCAACCCACTCGTTTTGCCGAAGGGCTGCACTTATTGATCTAATTGCTAAATTTTCATGTTTTTTTTCACTCAAAACGTCTCTCTGATATCTCGGCTAAACATTCCGGGTATAATCTTATGACTTTGGTGGAGATACAAAAGTGGCAATAAATGTACGCAATAGAAGTAAAGTCAAATTAAAAAATTTTATTTACATTTTTGAAATTATAATTCCGGCTGCGTGTGCAGCTGCCAGAATGCAACGTTTTGGGCGTAGTTTCGCGGCAATGCAATGGGTATTTCAACAAAAAATACAGAAAAAATTTGATTCAAAACAAGCCCTTGTTTTAAAACACAATGTTTTTTTTAGAATTGATAAAAAACAAAACCTTACTTTTCATGCTTCAAGACAACAAACGACAAAGGAAACGGTTGTTGCACGTTCGTTTCCTATGCAAGGGAGATAAATTCAGCGGATCATTGACATCGACGTTGACTTCGAATTGAGTTCACATCGCGCTTCATCATTTTCAGACATTTTGCAAACCTCGTGTAAAAATGAAGTAGTTTAAAGGTTAGGTTTGAAGGTTAAGGTTAGGTTTGAAGGTTAAGTAGTTGAGGATTGCTTTTATGACAAATAAAACATTTTCAGAAATATTGTACAAAAATGCAGTTTTGCGAGGATTTTCGTTACCAAATGATTAAAAAAATCTCTAAATCTATCATATTGTTTCGTCATCTGTCCCAAATATTACTGCGACCTAATTTCTGATTTGATAGGATTAATTACATCGGTGATGCAGATTATTTTCTACATTTGAAATACTTTTACTGAAAAGTAAGGCTTCGCCAATCCCAATATATATGAAGAAAAATACAGGACAATAATTAATCTTTAAAACCAACTAAGCATGCTTCAAATTCTTAATTTGAACAATCTTCTAGCTATTGTTTTAAGTGTGAAATTAATAAAATGAATGAAAATGGACATCATGCAGACAATTCAAACGATGAATCAGGAAGCTTTACAAGAACAGGAATGAATTACAACGAGTTTCGAAGTGCAGCTCAAGAAATAGTTGATTATATAATAAATTATCACCAAAATCTAGAGGGAAAGCAAGCTTTTCCTTCAGTGAAGCCAGGTGAGAAAATTTAAATGTGAATATTTTGTGTTGGCCATAGCAGTGTGTATCTTAAATCGTTTCAATTCACCATTTGGGTGTGATTTGATTTGTATTTCTACGTGCAGTAAAAAAGCCCTGTTGCGACATACCCGTGTTTTTCATTTTAGGTTTCCTAAGAAAGCTTCTGCCCTGGAATCCGCCAGAGCATGGTGGCCAATGGGAAGATTTACTTGAAGATTTCGATAAAATCATTATGAAGGGAATGACACATTGGCATTCGTCCAAGTTTTCGCATATTTACCAACAGGAAATAGCTATCCATCACTTCTAGCCACTATGTTGGTTGATGGATGTGGAAGTCTAGCTTTCAGCTGGGTGATAATTATATATATATATATATAAAATTATGTGTGTTTTTCTTGTATGAAATCCAATATAATTCACGCAATTAAGATTTTAGTACGGCACGGTATACGTGATACAAACAAGGTGTTTATTTTTTTCAGGCTACGAGTCCTTCTTGCACAGAACTAGAAACCATGATGTTGGACTGGCTGGCGAAAGCTATAAACCTTCCTGCATGTTTTATTCATGATGGCGTTGGTCCTGGTGCGGAGTGATTCTAGGTAAAACGAAAATGTAATAAATCATGTCAATTTTTCTGTTACCTTCGTAATGAAACATGATATATGATATGATAAATTTGTAGTAATGTTCTCAAAGCTTTTTCCACTTTATCATTTTTAGAAAACTTCTATTAAGTCACGCTTGTCGCGTATACCTAGTGAGAAGTGATTTTGCCATATGTTTATAGCCTGTACTATATTACTATTACGTTAATTAGAAATATATTCTTACTTTACTACCATGTACGATGCGAAGGATATTAATATCATCCTTAGTCATATTCTATATGTTCAGGTGATAACGATTATTAGTAGATGGTAATTTCATTCGAACGTTAATCAATAAAACTATCATAGTTATTTAATAAGAACCATTTTTGATAGCACAACGTTATCGACTGGCGGGATTTCTCAATAACTCAATATCATTTATTACCTATTAGAAAATTTCTAACAAATAAGAAACAGATTCACACTACGATTACTTTCCACAAATTCAAAGTTTGTAAATATGTATAGTACTGACATATTTATTTATCGAAAAAATAAATACGAAACATAAAGAAACCAGTCATTTGTTTCAGATGGATGGACGTGGATAACCGATAATACAGAAATTACCACATAGTGGAAATTGTTAATTGTGAACTGATGTGCTATCAATCTTTGACAGGGTCATGTAGCGAAGGTACATTGATGACGTTGTTGTCTGCAAGGAATAATGCGTTGAAGAAACTTAGCTTAATATATCCTGATGTCTCTCAGTATGAACTTGCATCACGATTAGTTGCATATACTTCGGAATACAGTCATTCTTCGGTTGAGAGAGCAAGTGAGTAAAAATTTTAATATTTCATAGAGTAATCATCATCTAGATTTAGAACAGGGTGGTCCAAACCCAGGCCCGCGGGCCACAAGTGGCCCGCTGCTTCATTATCTGTGGCCCGCGTCGCAATATTCGGAGGAACGAAAAATGACATTTGGTGTTGTTTCGTCATAAAAATAACCAGAAAAATTCTTTGTCATTTTGTTACATCACTAATGTTACTGAATTAAAAACCTTCTGTACCTCACATTTGGTAATCAATCAATCTGCAGTTATTTGTAGGTTATTTTGTAAACATGAGTTTGAAAGCTGACCAATTCATAGATTTTTGACTGGATATGGGTGGAGAAATACCACAATGCTTGCTTAATATATCTGCAAGTTGTTTTGGTGACGACATTTTCGCCTTATGACCTAACAGTGTTTGACAACGGTGTTTGTTTTGTATTGCACTGTTTACCTATTCTTGGCATTATTGTGGCCCGCGAACAATACAAAAATAATAGCGTGGCCCGCGAGGCCGACAACCTTGGACCACCCTGATCTAGAAGTTTGTCATCTTGAAACGGAAATTTGGTATTTTGTATAGGTTTATTAGGATTCACAAAACTTCATAAAGTACCAGTGGATGAAATTGTTTCAATGCGTGGGGATGCTTTACAACGAGCAATAAAAGAAGACAAGAAGGCTGGGAAATTTCCTTTCTATGTAAGAGACAGTTTGGTATTTTTGACTTATTTGTTGCTAAATTTTGTGTCAACATATCAGTTTTAGAAAAAAAAAATGAATCCATATTTAGTTTTGAGTTTGTCTTTTCCTTAGAAAATTACCATGCATTCAAGGTTACAATTTTGAATCAAATAACAGAGGTAGATGAGAATGACAACATTTTTCAAAATTAATTTGGAAAATGATTTTCAGACATTTAGTTTTAAGTTTTAGCGTGTGTTTTCTATATCAAAAGTCTGACCTGTCGCTTTGAAATACGATCAGTTCTAATATAATTCGATTTCTGGTTGAAATTAATGAGTTAAAATTTAAAATATAAAGATACCAACTGAAATGGCAATACGTTTTATGTCAACTTAAAATTAGACCGCTGGGGAAAATTTAAAACAAGTAACTTTTTTGTTAAGGTGTGTGCAACGCTGGGAACGACGTCATGTGTTTCATTCGACAACCTTGACGAAATTGGACAAGTTTGTAGGAAATTTAACTTGTTCGACATTTGTTTCCATAACGTTATCTGACGGATTTTTTTGCAATATCAAATTATAGGAATATCTTGAGTAATAATAACAAATCTGAAACAGAAAACTTTATTTTCCATTTCAGTATGTACAAGGGGCACAGCTGTTTTGGCTATGTGTGATGAATTTTTTTTATAATGTAAAAGTAAACAAAGAACTACTTTATAGGCAAGTTCAAAAATACCAGTAACAACTTAAAAATTTATCAGGTCAAGCAGAAGATGTATTTTGGTTGCATGTTGATGCCTCTTATGCCGGAGGCAGCTTCATTTGTCCGGAATTTCGTCACCATATGAAAGGAATAGAGGTTAATTACTTATTGCACTAAATACCTCATTTTGTTCAGTTTTAGACTATTTAATGATTTTTGTGGAATGTATTGAATATCGACAAAATTGACGTTGAACTTTATTTCATTTAACATTTCACAAATGACCGCATTTATTTTTAGTGTGTTGAACCACTTTTCGTACGTTAAAGAAATTGTCAAAATAAAGTCCATTTTCTATGCTATTGATAAGCTGATGTATTTGAAAATATACAATTTTTTTTTTACAAAATCTTTCTCCGTTAAGTTCTATTTCTAAATCTATCTTTTTCAGTATGCAGATTCCATCACATGTAATCCCCAAAAGTGCTTGATGATTAACCCTCAGTTTTCGGTTCTTTGGTAAGCAGAATAAATGAAGTGTTAAAAATCGTGATAGTGGGCTCGCAAATGCTTCGTTAAATATATTAGCACATCAAAATCCTGTAGTCAATATTTCTAAATATATAGCAGAGAAGCGGATAGTATCGCCTCTAAACGTTGCCTTTAAAAAGTAACTTTTGGCAGATTTTAATTAAAAAATGCGAGTATTTAATTTTAAAAACCATTTATAAAATAAAATAAAATGAAAATGCTGTTTAAATTAATGACTCTGCAAACTATGAAAAATATCAACAAGTATCTCTTATTTGGAATACAATTGTAAAATGAAGAAAAAGAATTAAATATTAACTTGGACCAAAATGAAAAGAGTTTTGCGCAGTAAAATTCATCAACAACTATAATCTAGCACAACTACAAGGAAAAATCCAAATTTCAAGTCGATATGCAGGAATAAGATCGTGAATGGTTGATGCATTTAGAAAAATAATCTAATTACCTAATAAAGTTATTTTTATACCACTAGGGTGAAAGATAGAAAAACGTATTCAGAACCTTTCAAAGTTGACCCGAGTTACGTTCGACACGAGGAAGAGGACGTCGTAATTGATTACCGGGTATAATGATATATGAGATAAATAACATTATTAAAATTTTCAAAACACTTACTTTTTTCACATACATTTAAAACAGAAATTGTCTACTACATTCTAATTCACTAGGTTATTGACTCCAATTTTCTAAATTGTGACTATTTTTAATTTTCTTTAAAATATATCTGTAAAATTTAGTCCATATTTTAATCATACTACGATGACCATAAAAATGCTGGAAGCCAGATAGATATTAATTCTATACTCAATAAAAAGTAAACAAGGATATTCTGTTTTATTGAACGAAATCACAAACTGATTGTTTACTTCTGTCTTGGTTTCTATGTTAACTCATATAAAACATATTGTATTCAGCACATGGGTGTTGGTTTCGGGCGGCGATTTCGTTCGCTCAAACCGTGGTTTGTTTTTCGTCTAATTGGAATCGAAGGTCTTCGCCACAGAGTAAGAGAAGACGTGAAAATGGCCAAACTATTTGAATCTCTTGTCAATACTGACGATCGGTTTGAAGTTGTTTTTCCGGTGGAATTGGGAGTTGTGTGTTTCCGACTGATAATTTACAAAAACGACACAGAGGTATGTGAGTTAATACTGAACATTGTGGGCGCATTTTCATCTCATTAAAACAAATTTCTAAATTAAACCTTAAGTTATCGTTGTCCTCGCCTATTTAATTATTCCGCCTGAGTAAACAAATGTATCCCACTAAGAAAGTTGTCCACTAACAAAGCCCTAAATGAATTTTCATTGAAACGCTCTAATCACATATTTAATTTTTGTCCATATATACTCTTATTTCAGAAAAGTAACACAATCAACAGACAGCTACTCAAGCAAATCAAGGATTCAAAAGATGTCTTCTTGATATCATCAGAAGTTGAAGAAACTTTCTTTCTTCGATTATGCACCGGTTTTAATGCGTGTAACGAAAACGCAATCCATAACTGCTGGAACGTCATTTTAAAACACACTAATTTAATATTGTAGGATTTGTTAAATGTACTAAATATTACAGATTGCTAGATTAGAGATAGAGAAATTGCTATATTCAAGTACAAGAAAAACAAAGTGAATGAATATTTGAATTATACCTTGGATCGTTAAAAAGGGATAATCAACATAATCAGAAGTGGAAATGGAATTTAATACAAAGTATATTAGCAGTTATTGCTGCGTGATTAAATTTGTTTTCAATCATAAATAGCCCGACTGAGTTGAGATAAAGATAGAAACAAATTCATTTTTCAGTAATTAACGAACTATATATGACGTTGCTGAATACGTTTTTCTATTTTTCACCCTAGTGGTATAAAAGTAACTTTATTAAGTAATTAGTAATATTTTTCGAACTGCATCAACCATTCACGATCTTATTCTTGCATATCGACTTAAAATTTGGATTTTTCCTTGTAGTTGTGCTAGATTATAGTTAGATGAATTTTACTGCGCTCTTGTCATTTCAGTCCAAGATAATATTTAATTCTTTCTCAATTGTATTTCAAATAAGAGATACTTGTTGATATTTTCAAAGTTTGCAAAGTCATTATTTTTAACAGCATTTTCATTTTATTTTATAAATGGCTTTCAAAATTAAATAATTGCATTTTTTAATTAAAATCTGCCAAACGTTACTTTTTGAAAGCGTGGTTGTTGTTTAGCAACGACGAATTCGAGAAACCCATTGGGTATATGCAGAAAGAATGACATATACGAAACCGCACTTTATTGCCGTATAAAATTGGCAAATTGCAACCCTGTACCCAAAAAAGTCTAAACCTAGACTCTAAGAAACTATTACCGGCAATCGCCCAACATTACATTTCACTAGCACGTGCCGGTGATAAATAATCGGTGTTTTAGTTTATTGAACATAAAAAGAAAACACTATGAATCACGTGCGAATTTTTTTTTTAAATAAAAGTAAACGTGAAATAAATGCTTTAAAATTAAAAAATGAGATAGGAAAAATTGTACAGTGAAAAATTAGGAACGTGAGGTAGACAAAAATTCCCCAATAATTAAAGTCTTTATTCATAGATCCCTTCGCACACAGTCACTCCACTCATTCTTCTTGGAGCAGTTTATGTAGAGATTTCTAAAGACATTGTTCCTGGTTGTTACAATCGCATCGATGATTTGAGTAGTAATTGTTTTTTATGAAGATTGAATGAAAAAGCTACCAAGTTTCATTGGTATTTATGATCCAATTTATTGTTATTTTACAAACATAATGTTTTTGTTCACGAGTGAGCAATAAAAAAATATTACGTTGAATATATATTTGAAACCAATCGGTTGCACTGGCAACAAACAACTGGCAACAAAATAACAAAACAACGAAATTTCTCGTTTGCAGACCTGATTTAGCCTGCAAAGTACCAAGGTCAACTTATTTAAATGTAACTAATTCAATAAAGCTATAAACAGTGAAATATCATTGAATCTACAAACGCAATCACCCAATTTACTTTTATTACTTCTCGACCAACACATTTTCCCGTTTCCAACTTTTATATCCTAATGAATCTTGCACTCAATCAACAGAATGTATAAGCCAACCCGGTAAAATTCCTCTGTCCGAACCTGGGGTCTTAGACACACGGTATGGAAAACACAGCGCTAGATGATTGGTGATTTAATATCATACACTATTTGCTTCTTCTCCGTTTACTTATTTTTTGTTATTTTTTTACTAAAATATAAACGTTTCTTTAGGATTTTACTAATAATATTTGATAAAGCCAACGTTGAAGTGTCAGTGATGGGAGTTGCATAACATAAATTATGATTCTGAAAAAATACAACCAGTCGTGGTTCTTTTTTTTTTCGGTTGATTATAAAACTCAAAAATCTTTCAATTTTTCATATACAGAAAGGTATTAAATCTAACTTGAGCATAATTTACGTTGCCGATAAGGCAAAAAAAATCATGTGCTATGAACTCATAGTACGTGAGCATGATGTCCTTTTCAATATTACCCTTGGAGGTGCGAAAGTAGTTTTTGGACATGCTTTTGTTTGTATGGTTGTTGTATGATGGGCGAAAGTTTATAGTCTGTCGTTAAAAGATAAGTAACAAGAGCAACGCCTCGACTATCCATACCCCCACGTCTTTGTTAGACACGTTAAAATAATGAGTAGCTTGTATAGTAAATTAGCATACACGAAAAATGTCCTGATCAAGTGTGTAACTTAGTTAAATTATTTTAAAACTCATTCGTCATTGTGATATGGCTTGAGGCTATTTAACTCAATTATGTCCGGTAAAAAAAAACAAGTTATGACGGTTTATAACAATTCTAAGAAAGTTTAATTTTACTGGTTCAATATTATTAATTCGAAACACAACGGTAAAATCTTACTAAAATTACAAAATTATCCCCAAGTACCCTCTACCGCTTCAATACTACCCTCCACTTTAAAAGGGTTTACGATAGACTCAAAGCATTCACGTTCGTCCAAACGCAATTTCAATAAATAACTCAGAACATTGCCTAATGCAAAAGCCTAATTCGCTCCTCATCGTGCCCATCCCAACCATTAGGCTTGGCTATAGCCTTAGTACAGAAATGAAGCCCAATTTTCCGATCCATCAAATTTTTCCGGTTGTCGTTATGGCCTAATAATAACGCCACATGCACTAGCGTAACCTTTCGCCAAATGAGTAGACGAACTCACCGGGTATAATATGGGCATGGTAGTTGGAGACTCCATTTTCTACTTCGGCCTATATATTTTGCTGAATATATTTGCAATGCTACTAACAATACAATGCTTATTTTCGACATAAGCCACTTGTTTATTTACATCGGTATGATAATTTATTGTGTGGCACTGATAGTGTTGTAATACAATCAGACATATTTTGTGGAACGGTTTACTCTCAAAATCTTGGAACCGAGTTTTAAAAAATCGGCCAAGGACGAAGTAGTGTTATTTATCACACTAACGACCGATTTATTAGTTAGTGGATCTATGAATCGCTTTGCTAAATTCATTTTAATTCGTTAAACTCTTTTGAAATATGGGTCATCATTTGTATACGCTCTTTTTTAGAAGAAAAGTCGACGCAAGCTCAGATGTATAGGGAAAGCTCTTCCGTACAGATTCCTGACATTCGTGTCTATTTATCTGAGTATTGTTCTTGTATTGTGTTACATAATGCATTTGGAGTTTTAATTCATAGTAAAATATATATATGTTTCTCAAATTACCGAGCCCAAGTAAGTTCAAGTTCTGTAAACGGATCTTAAGTGAAAATAGTTGACTAAGCCTGCTATAGGATGGAAAATGTTCGTTATTATTCGATTTGAAAAACGAAATCAGTTTGCCGATTCCAACGTGTTATGATACCACGAACTCAATAAATATTTAAACGTATTAGATCAAATTGAAGAAAATATGAAAACATGTGCTTTATATTTCTTAGTATACTATAGTATAGAGGTCCATGGTTTTTATTTTTACTATTTTAATTATAACTGAAATACTCAATACGATTGCTGATAGTTATTGAAAATGAAATCTCTATTTTAATCAATCGAAACCATGCGCAATTCATCGAGTAAGTTGAACTAAACCAAATTAAAACTGAAACCAAAATTAAAATGAAAGACTTTACTTCTAACGGTCACAATAATTATTATTATACATAAAAAACATCAAATTAATGATTATTCTTATAACAACTTTTGTTACGGAATTAACAATTGGAGAACACAAGGGTAATATATAATCTCTCTTGTGATTCTCGTACGCTCTGCAGAATATATATGGGATTACATTGTAGTCTACTTATGTCATATATTAGTTTAGCCCAATTAGCCTAAGCAAGATCAGTGTTTCAATGATAAAACTTATTCATATATAAAATTAATTCCTCTTCCTTATATTTTTTCTTCCACTTGTCTGTCTATTTTACTAGATTGCTCAGCAGTAAAATATTTCTTCCATTTGCCAATAATTCCTGAAATGAGACTTACTGTATTAAAGATGAAATTATATACAAATAAACCAAAGTGCTAGAAACCAATATATATTTTCTGCAAACTATTGTGATTAATACATTTACTAAGATAAAAGTAATGCAGAAACCGCATTCATATGTACCTGTCATACACATTTTAGTAGAATGGCGAAACATTGCATCTTCTGATTTCGATGCCATATCAGATTTTCTCATGTTATCAATTGAACATTTTTCAACTATGTCATTGATTTCATCATTTGATAGTTCAACTCCCAGAAATTGTGACAACTCTCTTGTTTTTTCATGAGGACTCTGGATAGAAAGCAAAACCGAAGTCAAATTGAAAGAATTATGTGTTACAACCAACTATTGGAAATACAATAATTAGAAGTAGCAATTCGAAATGACCAATTATGGTTTTTCAATATCAAATAACCTTTTAATATATTAGAAATTAGGTTACCCTAATCATTTCTTCATACACCATCAATATTGCGTTGTTGTTGTTTTTAATATGAGGCAGCCAAGATAGAATGTGATCGAAATATGTTTCTCCTTTTCGCAGGCCAAAGGGATACGGCTATTAATAAAGAAATCAAATACTTAATTATTCAATTCAATTTCAAATGCTATTCTCACGGTCTCCAATCTGCATCTCCATTCCAATATTTTCTGTTTCCTAATACAATTTGCATGCTGAGCGTTTTTCAGCTGCTCCCACTCAAAAGTTGCTATTTTTGTTACAGTAAATCCTTTGTAGAATGCTGTTGCTTGTTCACAGAATGTGGAAACAAATACCTTTTATTGCTTCTTCAAAATATTTGTTCCAATCGTTGATTGTAAATCTCGCTAGCTCGCCCTCGTTAGGAAATTCTTTTATGAAATTGAAGAACGAAACAAGCCTTCCTTCGGATTTCGTAATGTATAAACAATCTGAAAATGAAACACAAATATTTTTTTCACTGCCTCTTTGTTTATACCTTGCAAAGTGAACTCTTTTGATGCCGTTGTTACAAAAATGTGCAAATCTGAAAGTTTGTTAGATACCGCCACATAAAATTTTTCACTAACCCTCATGTGGTTTCGTAGATGCACGCAACTCGAAATTTGATGCAAATTCTCAGTGAAGCGTTTATCCCCAATTCTCTTTTCTGAGGGCGTTCAAAATAAGAAAAGAGTGCACCGCAACTAAGTGGCAGCATGTGACAAATAGGTCATTCTTTGTTTACCAGAGATCATACTAAGCTATTTTACTGCAATTTTTGAATGGGAAAATTTTGGAGGTGGAAGGATTTTATTATTGAATATTGATCCATAAACATTTTCTTAGTGAAGGAGGTTGGAGTATAACAAATAATAAATATTTTATTGAATAAAATGACTAATGGTAAGAAATTAAGTAGTGGATTGTTCATTGGACTTGATGTTGTTGTTACTGTTATGAAAAAAATCGCTTCTCCTACTAACTATTTGACCAATTGCGCTTTTAAAGTTTGTTGTTGCAAAGGCTAAAACTACTACTGTATCTCAAAACCTTTGATACTACAATGGTGACTCGAATCAATGATTTGGTATATGGATTCACATTGAGACTGGACGCATGAATTAACGAAAGCTTAATTGTTGTTTCTCTTTATTATTGCTTCTTAGGGGGAAATAGCGAAAGCATGGTTATTGTTTCAGTTGAAAGTTGTTTAAGTAAAATGTAATACTACCGGTACGGTAATAAATTTGATACTACTTCGTTTTGACTTGAGTGTTCATATATTGAAGCATTGCTCTAATATTTTTGAAAATATTAATTATATATTTTTTTCGTGAAGAATTTATCCTTGGCTGTTATGTCGCATTGCATGTATATTTATGTATATTTAAAACATTTCTTTTCTAATTAACCAACACAACGATACCTCAATCACTATAATTGCTAAAAACGTCAGGGGGTTATGAATTCAGCGAGACGCGTTCGATGACATCCCTCCCGAATTATTACTGCGCGGAAAGCTTCAAAATGCAAAGTAAAAGTATTGTCAATGACAATACACTTCACGCAGTCGTACACTGATACAAAGTCTGTTGCACGCATTCTGTTTTATAAGATCACATAATCTGCAGTAACTACCCGTCTCAAATTCATGCCATAATACATTTTTTTCCCGGACAGAAAAATCAAATTGATTTTGCCGGAGGAAGTGATAGACGCCGGTGCAGACGTCTACTACGTGCATATTTTGAAACTGCCAGATTGTCTAGAGCAGGGTTCGGCAACCTTTTGTTGCTCGCGGGCCAATTATGAGGTGGCACACATTTATAAAAAGTTAAAATCGAACTGATGACCGATGAATCACAATTTTTTCACACAGATCAAAAATTGAAATTATAAGCAGCGCTCATCTTACAATTCATTTACAAATAACATTTGATTTGATATTTTTGTTGCATCACGCTTGATACGTTTTTGACATCAGGTGACACACTGGATGAAGTTAAGATTTGAACATTTTCTAAATCGGCATCACTTGCTCTAGTTTCTCCACTTATTCTTTGTAATGCTAATTTTCGAAAATAATTGTTCGCACACATATGTACTTCCAAACATCAGTATGAATTTTTTCGCATGGTTTGTCAAATTTGGAGAAAGTCTTCAAGGAGATACTTTTTATAAAAATGAAGCAGTGATACATCACTCGAATAAAATATAGATTTCTTTCTTCATTGCATTGCATCAAAAACAAAGTTCATTTGAATATTTTGTGCGCCATTGAACCCTTTGCACTTAGCATCAACTTTGTTGTTTTGTTGCAATTTGTATATTTATAATTAAATTATAGTCACATTAAACGAGTACTTGGGAATTATATACTTGTTAGAATATATTATAATTTAATCTACACGTGTCTCGCAATAAATACTGTTACGTAAAGAATGCATTCGTCAAAACAGCCATTTTGTTACAATAATTCAGTGAAGCTTCGCGGGTCAGAGATCCGGTCCGCGGTTGCCGGGTTTCCGACCCTTGGTCTAGACTAGAGTCGAGAATTTAGAATTAACACTCTAAGACACTATTATCGGCAATCTTCCGGCACTAAATATCACTACTATGTGGGTTTCATTATCTTTGCACCCACGTACATTTGCACTCAGGACATTTTCACCTACGAACAATTACACCCATACATTTGCACTCGCAGATTTTAGCGATCACATACAATGCACCAATGGAAATTTGCACCCAGAGCACACGCGTACATTTGCACCCACGTATTTCTGGAACCATGAACATTTGTACCCACGGATATTCGCATCTATGGGCACTTGCAACCATGGGATTTTGCACCCGTAAACATTTACAAGTCTTTGAAGTAAAAGAGGTTCTATTACCATTTGCGCCGAAATACTGACTTCCCTATGTTATGAATAGTAATGAGTGATAAAGACGAACGCACTGCGAACCCGAACGCGATTAATTTGTGAACATGACTGTGGGTGCGTACGTGGGGCCAATGCATATGCGTAAAAATGTCATGGGTATAAATGCCCGTGAATGCAGATGTGCATGGGTACAAATGTCCGTGAATGCAGATGTGCATAGGTACAAATGTAAGTAAGTACAAATGTCCATTAGTGGAAATGTACATGGTTGAAAATGTACGCGAACGTTAATATTCAAGGGTGCATATGTCTGTGGGTGCATATGTCCATGGGTGCAAATGTCCGAGGATGCAAATGTTCATACATGTGGAACAAGTGGGGCACGTAAGACAAGTGGGACACGTCTGACACATGGGGCAAGTGGGACACATGAGGGCACGTAGAATACATCAGACACGTGGGACAAGTGGAAAAAGTGAAATACGTGGGGCACGTGTGACAAGTGGCACACGTGGGTCAAGTGTTATAAGTAAGACACGCGGTACATATAGGACAAGTGGTACACGTGGGAGTTAGGACATCTGATACAAGTGGGGCGATTGGGACACGTAGAAACCTCATTCCAATATTTTGTTACCGGTCCGCAAGGTCGTTTGATGTTAATGGCCCGCCTCTGTAAAAAAGTTAGAAAACAGTTACATACAACAACGTCACACCCCAAACGTCACGTTACCCAAACCTACAGCCAATATACAGGCACATGTTTTCATGAAGATGATGAAAACGATAGAGTATCGAGTATCTGTATTCCCTGCTTTCACAAAAATTGGGTCGCGGAAAAATGTGGTTTGGGAATCATTGATCTAGCACAACGACATAGAGGAATCTGTACTTTTCAAGTTTAATATTTGTAAAATTTATATTACAATAAATTGGATCATAATTACTAATGAAAATTTAGGAAGCTTTTTCATTCCATGCTTATATTATCAACTCTCACTCAAATCGTCGATCCAATTGTAACAACCAAGAACAACCCCGCGTTGACAATTATTCACTGTACAATTTTTCTCATCTCATTTTTTAATCTTCAAGCATTAATTTCACTTCACATATATTTTTGAAATAAACATCATTTCAATATAGAAGTCTGTAATATTTACTGCTCTGATATTTAAAATGTAATACCAGAATATATACAATGGGTTACAATGACGAATGTCACCACTTCAAAATCCATAACAATGATAAAATAAATCTTGAGTATATTTCTATTTATTGAATATAGCAATTTCTCTATCTCTAATCTAGCAATCTGTAATATTTAGTACATTGAACAAATCCTACAAGATTAAATTAGTGTGTTTTAAAATGACGTTCCAGCAGTTATGGATTGCGTTTTCGTTACACGCATTAAAACCGGTGCATAATCGAAGAAAGAAAGTTTCTTCAACTTCTGATGATATCAAGAAGACATCTTTTGAATCCTTGATTTGCTTGAGTAGCTGTCTGTTGATCATGTTACTTTTCTGAAATAGGAGTAAATATGGACAATGACTACTTTTGTTTACTCAGGTAAAATAATTTAATTAGTTATTGTTTTAATTTAGAAATTAAAATGAAATGAAAATATAGCAATTTCGAATCTTAACCTTCTCGGCGCACAAACATCAGACATTAAAAACTTCATAAAATGAACATTCTTCAAATATTTGCGATGTTTTCTTTCAAAACTTAAAGAGGTTTATTGGCCAAATTAGAGTTATTTTTAAAGAAAGTTAGTAGTCGATCATGGTTTTGTTGCCCGACATATGCGCTTACAATGTTCAGTAGTAACTCCTACCTTTGTGTCGTCTTTGTAAATTATGAGTCGGAAACACACAACTCCCAATTCCACCGGAAAAACAACTTCAAACCGACCGTCAGTATTGACAAGCGATTCGAATAATTTGGCCATTTTCACGTCTTCTCTTACTCTGTGGCGAAGACCTTCGATTCCAATTAGACGAAAAACAAACCACGGTTTGAGCGAACGAAATCGCCGCCCGAATCCAACACCCATGTGCTGAATACAATATGTTTTATATGAGTTAACATAGAAACCAAGACAGAAGTAAACAATCAGTTTGTGATTTTATTCAATATCACAGAATATTCTTGTTTTCTTTTCGATTGAAAATAGAATTAATATCTGGTTTCCATCATTTTTATGGTGATCGTAGTGTAATCATACTATAAGCTAAATTATACAGATATTTAATAAAAAAAATAGTCATAATTTGGAAAATCGAAGACAATAATATATTTAATTAGGATATAGTACACAGCTTCTGTTTGAAATGTAATGTGTTTTGAAAATTTTATTAATGTTGTTTATTTCATATATCATTATACCCGGTAATCAATTACGACGTCCTCTTCATCGTGTCGAACGTAACTCGGGTCAACTTTGAAAGGTTCTGAATACCTTTTTCTATCTTTCACCCTAGTGGTAGAAAAGTAACTTTATTAGGTAATTAGTATCAGTTTTTTAAATACATCTACGATTCATGAGCTTATTCCTGCATACCTATTTTACAATTTTATTTCAAAGAAAAGATACTTGTTGATATTTTTTAAAGCTTGCGAAGTCATCATTTTTAACTGCTTTTTCTTCTATTTCTTTACTACACTAATGATTTTCTAATTCAAATACGCCCATTTTTAAATTAAACTCTGCTAAACATTACTTTTCAAAGGCTTGGTTGTTGTTAAGCAACGTTTCAAGGCGATACAATTCACTTTTCTGCTATATATTCAGAAAGATTGACTACGGGATTATAATATATTCAATATATTCAACGAAAAATTTGCGAACCCTCACGATTTTCAACACTTTATGTATTCTGCTTACCAAAGAACCGAAAACTGAGGGTTAATCATCAAGCACTTTTGTGGATTACATGTGATGGAATCTGCATACTGAAAAAATAGAATTAAAAAATACCTTAACGGAGAAGGATTTTGTAAAAAATATTGTATTTTGTTGAATACAGCATCTTTTCGATTTGAAACAATACCTATAACGCAGTGTTTCCCAACCCGAGTCCGCGGTCTCAAATGAGTCCGCGGAGCGTTTGAATGAGTCCGCAACGAGCCAGAATTCACTGAGGACCGCAAACGGTTTTGCGAAACTTAACTATCCGACAAGTTACAATTTACGTTAGTATTAACATAAAACACAAAAGACAAGTTTATTCATAAAAACATTTATCGAATCAATAATTACTGGTTACTGAGTAGGGCTAGGCTTATATTCAAATATTCAACTATAAGAATAGAAATTTACTATTTGAAAATTTGGTAACAAGTTACGCGACAGGTCACTTGCGCGTCGCTTAATCAAACGATGGGATTTCACAACTCACTTGCGGATTCTCGACGAAAACACCAGTCTGCACTATAGAGGTTGGATCGGGTCCAAAAATTCCAGCCCGACCCTGGCCCGTGGGTATTAAACCCGACTAATTAACTGGATTTGCAGGTCCGAGACAGGAGCAAACCCGAAATTTCCAATTTTTTTAGGAGTTCTTTGAATTGTCATTGCAAGAGTTTAGTACAGTATGTGTCGTGTTGATGAGGCAACTTCTGTGCTTTTTTACAGACCACGGTCCCTCGTGGCCAAAAACACGGCCGAAACGAAACGCCGAAACTTATTTATAAAAAAGGGAGGGGGGGGGCAATGGAGAAGCCCGACCAGAACGTAATGATTGACATTTCAGGCCCGACCCGGCCCGAATTTTGGGTCGCATTTTTAGACATTGCAAATCGCAAAATTTTGGGTGCTAGCAGTGAATTTCCCTCTAAGATTCTTTGCTTTACTGCCTTCACATTAGTACATTAGTAAACTTCTAGAGCGCCGTAAGTGTTGTACAAACAGCTCAGATTTGTCGAATTCACAAAAATACGAATCAAAAAAAATATAATCGGGCACTTTACCAAGCATTTTGTGTCCACGGGATTGTCAGGATATTTTCTGAATAGTATTGCTTTTATTTCGTCAACACAACCGCATATTAAAATGCGACGCAAATCACAATTGAATTAATAATAAAGCAAGGCGATGAATATGTATTTTTGATTTACTAATATACTTTAAATTATTTTTTTAATAAGTACTAAATCAAATTGTACTTTGTGAAAACGTATATCAGATAGTAGGATTTATTTTCTAAGGGCGATAACAAATTCGCAAGATCGCAAAAAATATGTACCAAAACTAAATATAATCGGGCAATATATTCTCGCATCATCATGTTCACATATTGTCGTGGCATTTTAAAGAAGTAATGCTTTCATCTAGTCGTAAGTAGACGCAACCGCGAGTTACCATAAACACAATTAAATTAAAATAGCAAGACATTGTGAATTCTTGTCGTTGTCATGGATTGAATATTGGGCAACAGAAAAGGGTTTACCAGGCTTGTCCATGGGACATATTTTTCTGTCCCATTCCCATCCCATAGCAATTATGCCTGTCCCATGCCATTAGGAAGAAATTCAATAAAAAATGTTAAATTTAGGTTTAGCGTTTATTAAATAGGACTACATGTACGAAGAGACATGCTAAACAACAAAATTTACGGACTTTGTTAACTTTATATTCATAACTATTATACACGTATCCATCAGCTCTTTCACGAAGTATATTGTTAATGCTGAATATATATTGCTCTTTATAACTAACAAGAGAGCTAAGCTCAAATATATGAACACGAAGTCTATAACGAATTGTTTTACCATAATTTTCCCGAAAATCATACGGTTTTCGCGTCCCACATGAAATACAAATGTATGCTGTCCCATACCAACCCATGGGACGTTTCGCATAGACAAGCCTGGTCTTTACACACTAAATAAGTCAGTTCTTTTAACGAACGCGTAATTGCGCCGAATTTCCGATTTCGAAATTCGTTAAAATTCTGTCGTGTTTGGTTTTACTGCTTCTTCATACAGAGTACGGTTGCAATAAACGCACTTTGAGTCCGCAAAGGTTTTCGCCGGTGAGAAAATAGTCCGCGACCAAAACAGGTTGGGAAACACTGCTATAACGTACTAAAAATGAATGCGGTAATTTGTGCAATGTTAATTCTGTCGATATATCTTACCTCTATTCCTTTCATATGGCGACGAAATTCCGGACAAATGAAGCTGCCTCCGGCGTAAGAGGCATCAACATGCAACCAAAATACATTTTCTTCTTGACCTGATGAAATTTTATGTTGTGATTCTTATTTTGAACTTGCCTATAAGTAACTCTTTTATTAGATTCAAAATGTAAAAGAATTGTTAGAAGCAATTCAAAAATTTCATCACGCATAGCCCGAACAGTCTTTTGTACATATTCACATAAAAAATAAAGCTAACATTGTCAGTTTTGTTATTATTACTAAAGATATCTCTATAATTTTATATTGCAAAAAAACTTTAGATAACGTTATGAAAACAAATGTCAAACAAATTAAATTTCTTACAAACTTGTCCAATTTCGTCAAGATTGTCAAATGAAACACAGGACGTTGTTCCCAGCGTTGCACACACCTTGACAAAAAATACTTACTTATTTTATATTTGTTCTACTGAAACTATTTAAAAATTGACATGAACGGATTGCCATTTCAGTTGTTATCTTTATATTTTGAATTTTAACTCATATCTTTTATTTCAACCAGAAATCAAACTGTATTAGAACTGATCGTATTTCGAAGCGACTTTAACAGATCAGACATTTTCTATATCAAACACAAGCAAAAGTTAATTGTCTAAAAATCATTTTACAAATTATTTTGTAAAAATGTTTTCGTTTTCATCTACTTCTGTTATTTGATTCAAAATTGAATGCATGTTATTTTTCTAAGGAAATGACAGATATAAAACTGAATCTGGTGACTCCAAATTTGGTAACAAATAAGTCAAGAATACCAAACTATCTCTTACATAAAACGGAAATTTCCCAGCCTTCTTATCTTCTTTTATTGCGCGTTGTAATGCCTCCCCACGCATTGAAACAATTTTATCCACTGGTACTTTATGCAGTTTTGTGAATCCCAATAAACCTATACAAAATTTCCATTTCGAAATGACAAACACCTGGATAATAATGCCTTTATTTAATGGGTATTATAATTCAAAATTTTTACTCACTTGCTCTCTCAACCGAAGAATGACTGTATTCCGAAGTATATGCAACTAATCGCGATGCAAGTTCGTACTGAGCGACATCAGGATATATTAAGCTAAGTTGTTTCAGGGCATTATTCCTTGCAGACAACAACGTCATCAATGTACCCTCACTGCATGACCCTGTCAAAGATTGATAACGCACCAGTTCACAATGAATGATATTTAACAATTTGAACTATGTGGCATATTCTTCATTATGGGTTATCGCGTCCATGCATCTGAAACAAATGACTGGTTCCTTATGTTTCGTATTGATTTTTAAATATGAATCAATCATAATATGTCAGCACTATTGATATTCACAAACATTGAAGTTGTGAAAAGAAGTTGTAGTGTGAATTTGATTCTTACTTGTTAGAAATATTAATTTTTAACAAGTAATAAATGATATTGTGTAATTGAGAAATTTTTGCTGGTCGATAACGTTCTAGTATTAGAAATGGTTCTTAATATATAACTATAATAGTTTTTAATGATTAACGTTCGGTTCGAATGAAGGCAGTATCTACTAATAATCGTTACAACCTGAACATATGGAATATGACCAAAGAATATATTAATATCCTTCGCATCGAACACGGTAGTTATGTAAGTAGATATTTGAAATTAAGGTAATAGTAGTATAGTAGAGGCTATGAACATATGGCTAGAATCACTTATCACTAAGTATACGCGACAAGTGCGGATGAATGAAAAAAAAATTCTAAAAAAAATTATGTGGAAAAAGCTACAAGGAAATTACTAAAAATATATATACTCATGTCCCATTTATGAGTTAACATCGAATAATACCTAAATGATTACCTAGAATCACTCCGCATCCAGGACCAACGCCTTCATGAATAAAACATGCAGGAAGATTCATAGCTTTCGCCAGCCAGTCCAACATTAAGGTTTCTAGTTCTGTGCAGGCAGGACTCGTAGCCTGGAAAAAATAAACATCTTGTTTGTATCACGTATATTTGTCCTTCTTTTTCATACCGTACTATAATCTTAATTGCATAAATGATATTGAATTTCTTAAAAGAAAAACACACGAAAAATATTATATAATCATCACCCAGCTGAAAGCTAGACTTCCACATCCATCGACCAACATAGCGGCTAGAAGAGAAGGATAGCTATTTCCTGTTGGTAAATATGCGAAAAACTTGGACGAATGCCAATGTGTCATTCCCTTCATAATTATTTTATCGAAATCTTCAAGTAAATCTTCCCATTGGCCACCATGCTCTGGCGGATTCCAGGGCAAAAGCTTTCTTAGAAAACCTAAAATGGAAAACACGGTTAAATCGAAGATCTTTTCTACTGCATGTTGGAATACAAATCAAAATTACTCCCAAATGGTGAATGCAAACGATTTAGGATACGCACTGCTATGGTTAACCTAAGTTATTCGTATTTGCCTTTTTTTACCTGGTTTCACTGAAGGAAATGCTTGTTTTCCATCTAGACTTTGGTGATAATTTATCACATAATCAACTATTTTCTGGGCTGCACTTCGAAACTCGTTGTAATTCATTCCCATCCTTGCAAAGCTTCCTGATTCACCGTTTGAATTGTCTGCATGATGTCTATTTCCAGGCATTTTATCACTTTAACACCTAAAACATTGACTAGAAGAATATTCAAATTGAGAATTTGAATCATGCTCAGTTTCAAGGGTCAATTTTTGTCATGTATTTTGGTTTACATACATTAGAATTTGTGAAACTATAATTTTTGCCGTAAAAGTATTTAAAATGTAGAAAACATGTCATATAAACAATCTCAATCTGTCAATCAGTAGTTTTTCAACCATACTAAAATACAATTTAACTACTTCATTTTTACACGAGGTTCGCAGAATGTCCCAAAATGGTGAAGCGTATTGTATAATCTCCAATTAAAAATGGACGTCGCTGTCAATGTGATGCTGAATTTATCTTTATGGCAGAGGAAATGATCTTCCACCTTTCGTTTCCCGGCGCGTCTACCGTCTTGGCACAAGACATGCTTCCCAAAAGAGATCGATCATGTGCTAAAACCTTTGTTTTTCGACATGTGTTTGAACAAACCTCATCTACGACATAAATATCTAATTAATATTTTCCAAGAGGTAAATCAGTCTCACAGTTGTATTTTGTAAATGATAGGACCTTCCTGGGCAGACAGTGAATGATTCTAGTAATCCCGTTTTGTTGAGATTTCTGGACTGGCTATTCTGGTTCTTTCACCATTGGTTGACGTTGAAATACTTTATTTCAAAAAGTGTTTTGAATACTGCACCTGCACGTAGGAGCGGTACTTCTGTATATTGGTATTTATGATTCATATTATTGCCATAATGATTTTTTTGAGATATTTATTTGAAAACGCACAATATAATAAGCTAAAAGTTAACAGGTGAAATGATTACGTCGTTATGCCAGACGATCCGACAGTTTCGAAATCAACACCAACACTTATAGTCGAAGTCGGTATTCGTTTGTTTTCAATTTTACTTCATATATACTTGAACTGATGATATATATATCTGAAAACAGTTTTATCGCTTTCTTCAAACTTTAACTAATGGTATTTGCGAAATCGAACTGACTTGGATAGTAGACTTTGCAACGGCAAATTACTCATATTAAACTATTTCATGATTGAACATATATATAATTAAAATCTTCATTCCGTTTACTGAAAAGCTCTTTCTGACATACTCATGTAACTTGTTGTACCTGTGACAGGGAGATATATAGAACACCTTTAAACTCATTAATTAGGCTAATAAATTCAAATAAATTTATGCAAAAATTGTTTTTAATTATTACAAGTGCCTTGCCAAGTGTATTGAGTGGGAGGTGTTCGCATAGAGGGGCATTTTACACAGTGCCTGCAAAACTTTTCTTCCAAGTTTCAGTATTTAAAATTCAAATTTCATAATATTGAAATTATAAACACAATCGTCTGAAAGTGAGCTATATAGGAAATCCGAAATCTGACAATTGGGTTAAATGATCCCGTCTAATGACACTTATAAAGTCTATAATGACTTAAGTTTTCATGTCTTTCCTTTTTTTGAAAGAAAGTTTGATGAAAGCAAGGTCACGGGCGCTCACTCATAAATATAAGAGATGAATCTCTGAGTGAAGTTACGAGCGACCACTCAAGTGCCAGGTGCAACTGATGCAATAAATTATTACAGTGCAGAATTGTTCTTAAGTAAATACTGATTGACGCGAGACTCAAAGCAGTTCATGTCAATACGTTACAAAAACATCTTTATGGCAGAGGAAATGCACTTGCACCTTTCGTTTCCCGGCGCGTCTACCGTCTTGTCACAAGACATGCTTCCAAAAAGAGATCGATCATGTGCTAAAACCTTTGTTTTTTGACATAGGTTTGAACTAAACCGCATCTACGACATAAATATCTAATTAATATTTTTCAAGAGATAAATCAGTCTCACAGTTGTATTTTGGAAATGATAGGACCTTCCTGGGCAGACAGTGAATGATTCTAGTAATCCCGTTTTGTTGAGATTTCTAGAATGGCTATTCTTGGTTCTTTCACCCTTGGTTGAGGTCGGAGTACTTTATTTCTAAAGTGTTTCGAATACTGCACGTAGGAGCGGTACTTTTGTAAATTGGTATTTATGAATCATATTATTGCCATAAGGATTTTACTGACATATTTATTTGAAAACGCACTATATAATAAGCTAGAAGCTAACAGGTAACATGATTACGTCGTTATGCGAGACGATCCGACAGTTTCAAAATCAACACCAACACTTATAGTCGAAGTCGGTATTCGTTTGTTTTCAATTTTACTTCATATATACTTGAACTGATGATTTATCTGAGAACAGTTTTATCGCTTCCTTCAAACTTTAACTAATGGTACCTGCGAAATCGAACTGACTTGGATAGTAAACTTTGCAACGGCAAATTACTCATATTAAACTATTTCATGATTGAACTATATATAATTAAAATCTTCATTCCGTTTACTGAAAAGCTCTTTCTGACACACGCAGGGAACTTGTTGTACCAGGGAGATATATAGAAAACCTTTAAACTCATTAATTAGGCTAATAAATTCAAATAGATTTATGGAAAAATTGTTTTTAATCATTACAAGTGCCTTGCCAAGTGTATTGAGTGGGAGGTGTTCGCATAGAGGGGCATTTTACTCAGTGCCTGTAAAACTTTTCTTCCAAGTTTCAGTATTTAAAATTCAAATTTCATAATATTGAAATTATAAACACAATCGTCTGAAAGTGAGCTATATAGGAAATCCTAAATCTGACAATTGGGTTAAATGATCCCGTCTAATGACACTTACAAAGTCTATAACGACTTGAGTTTTCATGTCTTTCCATTTTTGGAAAGGAAATTTGATCAAAGCTAGGTCACGGGCGCTCACTCATAAATATAGGAGATGAGTGAAGAGAGTGAAGTTACGAGCGACCACTCAAGTGCCAGGTGCTACTGATGCAATAAATTATTACAGTACAGAATTGTTTTTTAGTAAATACTGCTTGACGCGAGACCTAAAGCAGTTCATGTCAATACGTTACAAAAACATTTATTTGGAAATGAATTCCGTACAACTCAAGTTCTTCGGAAAAACTTTGGACATATTTTTTGTTTGTCTAGTACAAGGATCTCATAGTCGACCGAGTTTGGCAACTTAAAACGTGTTTGGAGAAACTCAGAAAGTTATGTATTTACTCACGTGACAAATAACTTAAAACTTACCACTTTTCATGAAGTTTGTATGACTATATCATCACTAATTATTTTTGTGAACGAACTCCTGTAAAACTAATATCAGATGCACTAATGCGCCAATTAGTCGACGCGGCCCCAATGAATATTGCCAGAATAAAATTTAAATAATAATTCAATTTACAATTTTTTAGTCAGGCAATGTCATGCTCATTTAAAATTTGTTTCCAAGTCAGGCAATTCAATGGTTCTGGTAAAATGAAATTTATTTCAGACTTTTGATATGCTCGGCATTTACAGTATCAGAACTGTTATCTTTTATATGTTTTATTTTTATCATACAGGAATAGTCTTGTTGGCGATCGTAACACTATCACTCAATTGCATTCATTACTACCAACCAGCACACGAAAAATCTTTACACTACCCCATCCGGGTCGCGACCCTCAGTTCGGGAACCACTGACTTAATCGATGACACCTGTTTACGCATTTTGATTTCCATTTTCTTTGCAAGACACCTGCAACGTCGTAAAATTGGACAATAATAAATCAGTCTTTTCGTGAAATACTTAACTACTTGTATGGTAAGAATTGTTGTCATTCCAAGATCTCGATACAATGACGAGCAGACATTTTATGAGCAAACTCACTGAATTTAAGGGAAATTCAAGCCCACTCACTCGAAACAGAAGGGACGTTTTTCTGAGCGAAGCGTAGGTACCGGTAGCGTCGAAGGTACGGTAACGACTGCTTCGCTCCGATTAACGTGTCCATATATTTGAGCATTGCTTTCTTGTTTCCTATATCTAATATTATATACCTTTAACCCCTCATTTATAGAGAATGGATCCAGCACACACCAGGCGTTAAGGGCTAAAATAATCAATTTCTGGTTGGCATCTAACCTAGCCTAGAAGACCATTGCTAAGGTTTACGCTCTCGACGCATGGTTAGTATATAAATGATGACGATTAGTATAAATGATTTTAAAGAACTGATATTGAAATAAAAACAGAAATTAAACAGACAAAAAAGTTGGGGTTTAAAGTACGATATAGAGGGCTATGCTCAAATATATGGACACGTTACGCTGAAATTCACTGTGATACGGTAACTTACCAGCAGGCTTGACTACGGAACCTGTTCGCCGATCACGTGATCAATATGTGTTTGCGGAATCGCCACGTGGTGGCAAATTCTGATGACGTCATAGCTTAAAATAAAAACGAATCCCATAAAGCTCACAGGAATATTTTAAATTAATTAAAGTGATAGCCTCCTAGAAAAAAATTCCATCTTTAATGAAAATAATAGCCTAAAGAAAAACTTTATCTTTAACCACTGAAAATTTCAGAGCAATTGGTCCAATAATTAAAGAGAAAAGCGACTTCTTAGGTTTTTTACCAGGTGTCCAAAAAGTGTCAATGAACAACAACAACAACAGCATAATATTGAAACGATCGTTATGTCATCTAACGTGTCCAACAACTGCAAGTCATCTATCACGTACTGAAAACTTGTTGAATAGCCATAATACTGACTGACGTCATATAATCAAAATATATATACAGCAAAACATTCCAAAATGATACGGATTACTTCCATACTGCAGGGAAATCTGTGTAAAAAATCAATTCTTTTTCATAATATCGTCTGCCTTAAAACCCGGGAAAAAGTATTAAAATATTTCACAAAGATATCCTAATTTGATTCCAAAATATAATTCGAATACTTTTTGAATTGTAGTAAAATTCTAATTTATCTAATTTCATCCCCAAAAGTGTTACACATTTCAGTATTTTAACGTTCTGACCTGAACCGACAATAAATAGCTGATTTTGAACAAAAATGGCAGAATGTTGATTTAATATAGTTAGAAAATTTACATTGTTCTGTTGGAAACGATTGGAATCACAGATTACCACTTAACAGAGTATATTCATTGTAATATATAGCTAAAACCGCAAAATAGTTTATGGGAGATGCTGATTTGGCTGCAATTACATTGTTTCCTTTATTTATCTCAGTTTGAACTTGATAGAAATTAGTTTATTATCGATATAAATATGGGACAGTGGAAATATAGGATATTCGTTTTAATTAACCAACAATTGTTCAATAATTGACTAAACGCACAACGACTAATATCTGTTTGACGGAATGCAACGTACAACATTGTTATGGAATTGTTTTTTTCAACATGTTATGGCTATTATTGCCAATTCTATCACATTCTAATAAATAGATTCATCAATAAATAACATGCTATTCCTAATCAAAAGTCTCGTTTAGGTCATTGCTACATGGCCTAAACTTATACTAAAAGGTAAAATAATGAAATGACATGGCCAACCCATACGTTGAGGCTAGTTACGTATCGTGTCGTTTACTGTTCGTCTCTGTCGTGTAATGACCCCTGTGTAAATTGTAAGTTCATTTTTGAATAAAAATGTTTGTTTTCAACATATTCAAATCTCAAACGTGAGAAGGGTTTTTCAACAACTACAAAATGGAGCATCCTGGTTGATCTTATTAGATAACTACAAAAGTCAAATACCATTTTTTTAAATTCCATCGCGCATTATCTTATATCGAAAGTTCGCATACCCGCAAATATATTATACATCTTTTACTGGTAATGTTTACTGGTTGAACAAACGTCAGTTATGGGTAACCGTATCGTATATGATTATGATTGATAACAATTATGGAGCAAAGAAAAGTCAGACAATTAAATCCCAAAAAACAAAACATTGACTTAATTATGCACGTTGGCCACGGGACATCTATGGCCCTGATTACAGCAAACACATTACGCTACAATGATCAAAAGGCAACAAGATTGCCAAAAATTCAAATTAAAACAGTAAAATGAATCAAATATTTACACAAATTTGATGAAGAGCCAATTTTGAGTAAATTGAAAAATGTTGCCACTAAATCACCCTCTCAAAACTACGAAATAAAAGTGTCGAGTTACACCCTATACTCGCAGACGCATTTGTGCCTTTTCTATAACCAGACCGGGAAGTCAGTTTTAAAAGTTGTCGATCAAATTTATTTCCAAAAATCAAGAACAACAAAGGCGATTTTTTTCTAGCCTGAAATTTTCAGTATCCCATGAATACATTATTTAAATTTCTTAATTTGAATTTTTCTGAAAAACATAATATTAATAACCTAATATCGAAATTGCGTCAAAATTTTATGACCAGTTTTCTACACCAGGACTCATTTGAATATTGAATGATGAAATATGTTTCGGACAAGTTAACCTAAAATCAAAATACTTAACACAAGTCAAAACAAATTGAATTTCAATAGTCGGAAGTGTTATTCAGGATAGAAAATACATGAGGGCATGTTCTTTCAGTCGAACGACAAAATTGCGAAGGAATTAAGGCGGATTAGAAACTTGTGTGGTCAAAATGGAAGTTTCTATGTTAATGACGCTCTTTCACAGCAGGGATTTGCGTTATGAAATTTTTCGTTATATTTTTATGAATGACGTCACAAACAATGTCGTCAAAGAAATACTTGTAAACAAAACATTTCGATGGTTATCGTGATCGAGCATGTAGCAGATCTACACACGTATATGACTGACGTAATAATGTTCGTCCAAAGAGTGAACAGAAAGGAGGAAATAGTGTGACCTTGGAGCTGATATTAAGTCGATAGTTGAAAATAAATTGCCTAAGCCTTAAGTATATAGTTTACTAGATTACATTGAAATTGAAATGAAGTTTTTTGATGTATTGAGTGTAGATCAAGACAACTGTCTTAAAACGCGTCAACAATTTTGCAATTTTACTTTTTGATTCAGTCTTACGCGATGTTTGCGGTTTACAAGCTTGGTGCACATCAATACTACCGGCAGTGTTAGTCATGCGTTCGTGGCAATGCTTCATAAAACAACCGAGTAGCAGATCAAACGAAAGAGAAGCTTCATGATAAAAGTTGACTGTTTGAATACATTGGGAATAGGTAGTGGGGTTATTTTTGACGTTCACAAGGTTAAGCAGAGTAATTATAGCGTTTACAAGCTTTACAAAAGTTGAAATACCATCGTATAAAAACCACGACGAATTATTGTATAAAATAATAACCAGATCGCAAAGGTAGGCAAGTTATTTTGCACTGATTTTAAAAATTACTCATTTGTCGTCCTCAGCTGTGATTTATTCAAAAGGAATCTGCCTAATATTTTGATACATTTTTGCCATTTCGCGGATCTCGAATGATTGAGGTGATGCAGGAATTACCGGTATTTCTGATTTTCCGGAAACAATATCCGCAAACAACAACATATATTTTAGTAGGATAAGTAGTAAAGAGTATGCGATATTTATTTCTGGATGAAAATTGGGATGCCTGATAGTCGTATAGAAATGTTAGTCTGTTTCATTATAGGCTTATCCTTTATGTTTCTTTCCCCTATTTTCAATACAAGGGCGCTTCAGTTTTGCTCAATCGTTTTGTCCGTGAAAATACGAAAGCGGAAGCGATTAAAAAAAACTAATAAAGATGAACTGGTGTGCAAGAGCTACATATAATTTTATCATTCAATGGTTGTGCCACTAATAAAAATCTGATTCAAAAAATTTTAAGGTTTTCTAGTTATTACTACCGTTGGGTAAATTTGATTGCCACAAAGTTCATGGCATAATAGTAGTATATAAGTCATTCACAATTAGTAACATTTGCATTGAATACTTTTCTAGGTGAAACAGTATCTGAGATCAGACGCCGTAATACCCATCAAATATGCAAACACACATTAATCGAAGATTTTTGACGCTTTCACGCGGCCAAGCATGCCCATGCTCTAAATGAGTTTTCACGGAACAGCCCGCCGTTTAAAGTTACAAATAGAACCGATATTTTGTAGATGCCACAAAGTAATCTAGATTATTCAACTTGATTCACTTAATCGTTTAGATGGGTGGATAATTTTAAACTGTTCATAGTAGTCTTTCACAGCTTGCGAAAATGGGGTTAATTTTCAAGCAATATTGATGACTTCAGAAATTATCACGACTAATAAGTAACTCTCTCAATCCAGGAAACAATTCATCTATGAATTACTTATGCTTAATCGTATAAATTTCTGCTGACAACCTTGCAGGATATTCGTGCCAACGATTCGCCAAGGTAAGAAAATTATTGATGAGAAGAAACTATTGATAACTATACAACATCAAATTGATTATGTAAAGTCACTTTGGTGTGGCAATAGATATATGCAGTCGCTACTCGCTGGGCATCGTCGTTTTAACCCTCCGTGTACTCGCGCCCTTGCAGTTCTTCTAGAATTCAAAACCTTGTTTTGGATATAAATGGCCCCAGCGATAAATAGTTTATCGAAATATGTAGTCTGCAGTCTACACAATTACTGATTGTCATTTACGCGCATATACAAGGTATTTACGAAATCTAAATCTTTGCTCGACTTGATCACCACGTGACAAATCAAATGCAGGCATGTCGCCAATTTTTAGATGTTTTTATTTGTTATTTTTTTCGAAGGTTCATATCATCGCAAAGTATCATATATAGTTTTTTATGCAATCTCATAAATCAGTATTGATTAAATAATCTCACAACATCAGTCTGGAGTTTTCTGAAAATAATTGTCCTGGATTTTCATATATTTAAAATCAATCGTCAATTAAAAAATCAATTTAAAATGGCTCGCATCCGTATCATTTTTCACGATTATAGTTAATAGTATAAGCCATAAGGACTTTGTACATACAAAATTGCGACCCATTTTTGTGCAATTTAAAAACAAACATAACAAATTAAACGTGAACTGGAGTTGTCCACACGATGACGTTTGCGAGAAGCTCTTTTAGCAACCATTCAATTTTACTATGAATCCCACTTCATATACTTGCAATAATCATTTGCCGAACAACACACAAAGTAAAATTTTATTAGTTCCAAATTCATGCTTGGAATGGGGTAATTTAATAGTTGTGAGTCACAAAACGACTGCTACCCTAATTTATTTTTATGAGTTTTTGTTCAACAGTTTGTACACTTGACATCACTCTACTAATGTCGTATGTATTATATTACATAGTTGATAGTTGAACTATGTATGTCTGAAGAAACGTTACAGAAATATAGTTGTGTTAGTGTGCAGCAAGACTCTTGAATCACTTAGGATTATTATATTATCGTTGTGCATTTTCGTTTTACAGATAAATAACTTAGTTGAATGATGGATCTTTCTGATGCGTCGGAAAGATTACCTCGGTGGTTGGACGAAAATGAAAATGACTTTGAATGTGGTCCCGTCATTCCAGTAGCGATTCCGATATTCATCACACTCATCGCTGCAATCGGGCTGTTTGCGAACACCATAGTGATTTTTATTGTCACCGTACTCAGGTAACAATTTTTTATATATATATGCACTCATTATTTATACTTATAAGTAGGTAAATGTTGGGATGGGTCGCCAAGGCTTGGTACTTACACAATACCAGGTAAAATTACTTTATAGGTATAATTCATCTTGCGGAACTACAAAATCTTTTTCCATGTTAACCCTAGCATATTTCGGTCATTGCATAAATGGCTAGATAAGATTCGGTTGTGAGACCGAAAGTTGCTAAACGGATAAAGGATACTTAATATTGAAGAATACGTATGCAATTTTGAATAATGCGATTGATTATGTGCAAAAGAATGTTATACCTCCCAAGTTGCAATGAGCTCATCTAACCGCATGGATACGAGTATTTGGGTCCATGTGTTTAAACAAAGAAATAACCAGTAAATTCGGAGTGGCCTAAGCTTGAGTCATGAAATAAGCCGCATTATAGTATTTCTTTCTTTATTATAAATAATCAAAACCTAAGCTAAGAAAGTTAGGAAATGACCTTCACTGACATAACATTTCATGAACTGATTTGGATGAAAGCGGGTAATGGCTAGGGTTACCATATTTTTCGAACCTCAAAGCGGGACCTCCAATAACCATAACAGTGATTTTTTTAACTTTAAATTTACCGATTTTACATTAGGGGCCTACATTTAAAACCATCCCGGCTGTCCTCATTGACCATATTGTCATCTAGAGCAGTGATTCCAAAAGTGGGCGATATCGCCCCCCAGTGGGCGAAAACGATACAGAGGGGGGCGAAAAAGTCCAAGGGGGCGATAGGGGGGCGATTTCGCGAAATCTGTTTTATGTTCGGCGCACTTAATTCTGTACTCTGTGTGCATTCGCAGGCTTGAATCATGTGGGCGACTATCACACGCGAAAGGATTGCTGGACTCGTCTTCGCAGTAAGGTACGGTAGTTTGCGTATCCCAGTGGTCGGCAAAATACGGCCGGAGTAAAATAATCTGGCCCGGAACGATTCACTGAATGTACCTTTCCCCGACCTTTGACCGCGGAAAATTTTTCCAATACTTTACCACTTTAAAATTTTCGGTGCTTATTTTAAGAATGGTTTCGCGAGTTATTGCCTGTAAAATGGGGCATTTGTTTTCAAACTATCATTCTAATACACATCATTCAACAATATGTTTTTTAAAAGTACCGAATAAGAATTTTAGCCTAGTCTATCATAGCTATTTCTACACTAATTTGTGATTGCTGTATTTAAACTGAAACTCATAGGAAGACAAAGTAATCATTGACTTATTTGATTTAAATTTCCGAAAAACAACTAAAAACTAACGAATATGATTTAAAAACGCGAAAATGAGGTAATTTTCCACGACCACGCCTGAAAATCTGTCTGAGTGAGCGTGTCTGAGAGCCTGAGCGGATGCGAAAGGGGGCATTGTTACGTTTTTTGCATCTTGCTGATTGGCCTAAGTCACGAAGTAAACAAGGAAATATATGCCCGGGGAAACATCCAAACATCCAAAGTGAAATGCTATAAGGCAAGAGTATACGGCGGTTTTTGAGGAGGAAGAACCCTGGATTCTTTCATTTCCGACCTATTATATGGTGAAAAGGGGTTTTCAGCCGTGTTACTATTGCTATCAAAACAACTAAATCGCCTTTCCACCAGTAAACGGGGTAATTTTAGATATAATAAAAAACTCGCTGAAGAACACCAAGCTCATCTATCTCATAAAACACTATAAACTATGATTTGTCTTCTTATTTGGTCTGTAATATATTCGTTTCTGACTTTATACATTTTTTTGTATTGCCGGGGGGCGATGAAGTTCTATAAACTACTTTAGGGGGGCGATGGTCAAAAAAGTTTGGGAACCACTGATCTAGAGTTCATGCGGGAAATACAAAGGAATTTACGTTAACGTTAAGCACCTTTTAGCATACGGGGCTTACACCTAACAAATTGTATCAATTATCCGCTAACAATAATTATCAGTGAAAAACAACGAAACAAACAAAACCATGCATCCAACTTCAGTAAGTAGGCTAACGGTACGCTACACAGCAACAACAGTATCGAGAACATGCTAAATGGTAATGTTTGTGTATTGTGCTGACTGGCTGAACGCGAAAGCGAGACTTTTGGCTGACCGGTCGGGACGACAGGACAAGATGTTGAAAAGTGGTACTGTCCCGCCTAAAACGGGAGCGACTGAAAACAATTTGTTATTAGGGCGATTGGAAAATAACACAGCTATAAAGAATATTGCCGAGCGATTAACGTGAACAAATTTTAAAATCAGATGGAATTTATTGAACGATTTTATTTTTCAGAGAATACACAAAGTCTGTAACAAACATCTACGTTCTCCAGCTTGCCATTGCAGATTTTATATTCTTATTCCAACTTCCGTTTCAAGCTCGAACGATGGTTATCGGTCAGTGGACGTATGGGGTATTGTGGTGCAAATTATCAGAAGGAATCAAGTAAGTATGTATTACCAAATAGACGTGTGGTACTTTAGTAATTCCTTCTTGTAAAAATGTTTTTATTTCCTAGGTAAATTCTAGTTAAATGAAATTCTTGCAATTTTGCAAATACACAATTATTTGCATGGGTATGTGTTACGGGTAGCATGAACTATCCAGTGACAATTCTCCATCTCTAGTAAAACAAACTTAGAAACGACTAAGGTACTAACAAAAATGCAAATTGGTGTAGTCTAGGATTCGATCTCCAACGATTTCATTCGTGGAATAACGACTCAGTATACCATGCGATAAACGGTAGGAAATCGGCCCGTAAACAACAACGCTTCTTTTTATGTCCCTTATTATATTCTCAAGATTGAGAGTCTTCAACATATAAAAAGACGACTTATAAATTACAAGAAACATTGAATTACAAATATTCTTATTTATTCCTATAATTCTACTCGTATTATTCAGGATGCTCAACTATTATTCGTCGATCATGTTCCTAACCATAATGTCAGTGGATCGATATCTCGCTATAAATTTTGCGATGAATCAAAAAGTTGCAAAAGTTCGAACAAAACGGGCAGCTTTCGTCATAAGTTCAATTTTATGGATTCTATCCTTTGTCAGTGTCGTCAATATTTTGATACATGCTGATGTACGAGGATGTGATTGCCAAATTTTCTTCCCAGGTAGAATTTCATAACATATTATCTTTTAAATCATCAAATCTAGTTAAACAAACGTTGCTATGCTTTATTTCTATGTTTATATAGCATAATAATTATCAAGTGAGATTGTTGTTTACAGGGGTGGAACATCTTCACCAAAATATCACGCATTATCTCAGCAATGTGTCAGACTTGACGGATTACGGAAGGTATGCGACATTTGCTGTTTTTTGAACTGTTTGGAGTAAGTAACTCGCAAGCATACTCAAGCTCTAGTGCTATTCTTGAGAGTTGATTATAAGTTAATAAAAATAAATTAAATTCGAAGAATTACATAAAAATAAAAATATAAATATGGGATAAATATCGTTTTTTATTATCTCGTTACTTTTTTTACAGTAGCGATTACTCGGGAGATTATGGAGTAGTCGATTACGGGTGAGTAGACTATTGCACATTGCAGGTTTTGTATAATGATAATGAGATTCCTCCGAGTAATTAGATTAGAAATCGCCTATAGTGCCTCCGCATTTTGTGCATCGAGTTTCTAAGTGTAAGGAGGGCATGTTGTTCTTCTAATTTACTTAATTCAAAGCGATTGGGCAACATGGACAGTATGATGTAATTCATATACTATATGATTTTCTCAATTACCATAGAAAAGTGACTTTCTTTCTGTATATGATGACGTATTTTTTTAATCAATTAAAATTGAGGAAAACATTTTTTTAAATCCAACAGATCAAATTCAACTTTTGACTACGATGAGTAAGTATCACTTGCGTTATTGGAATATAAAATTAAGACTATTTTATGTATATTTATAAATTATGCAGGTTTGTTAATCTAGTTCGGGGATGGCGAATCACTGAACCGCGGGTCACAATGTTACCCCAAGTTAAAAATTCGAGTGGAAATATTAAAAAACCGGCCCCTTTTAATCTAACAATAACTGAATTATCGCATTATAACAACAGTTTAGGGACACTAGTAACAATGCTATTATAACGTTTATGACATAGCAATATAATTGATATTTTTGTTTATCCAACTTGGCTCGTTACAGGAGTTCCCTTCCGAGTAGGTATGAACCAATGGCGGAAGTGAAATGTAAAAAGCCCAAAATTAAGCCCAAAGCCTTAAGAATGTAAGACATGTTTATGGCAAATCATTAGTAAATGCCGACTCCCGTGGTTTTCTAATGTTGAAGAACTAAGAGATTTCATAAGGTGTTTCTCCGACCCTTGTAAGATGAAATATTCTTTTTATACTTAGGTATTGCAAAATGTATGAAACGTATCTTGAGAGTGTTTTCGCCATCTGGTGCTTTTTTATATTTATAATCATCATTTTGATTCAAAATATTTAACCATATTCCATCTAAAAGTACAGTATAGCTCAATTTAAGACTAATTTTTGATTACTGCACCTAAATTAAAGCTCTTTAAAATAAAAGATGAATATATTGGAAATATTGATAAATAGCATGCAAAACCACTAATAACGAGTCACTGTTTACAACCATGTTCATAAATATGTGTAAAGGGTGTTTGGGCTTTTTGATAATTAGTCATTGATAAGAATGCTTGGGAAAACACCCATTTAAAAGTGTATTATTTACTATGCCACTGAGGCAAAAAAAAATTCTTTTTTTAGAACTACTGACAGTTTGTTGTTATCGTTGTAAACTATTTAATCGTTTTAATATTCTAAGTTACATCAAACACTTTTTGTTCATGTCAGCACGAAATCAATACTTTTGCTAACTGTTCATTATTTCATTTCTTTACTTTAGATACTTGAAAGAAATATTGAATGACGACACCGTTTGTAGTTTTGCAAAACCGCAATATTCTCAATATTTTAAGACTTGGATTGTTTGTAATTTCGTGCTAGCATTTGCTGTTCCACTAGTTATTATTTGTGTGTCGTATGCACTCATCATTAGAAGAATATTGAAGCCCATGGTGATAGGTGAGAACGAGAACTTATATATACCTTAATAATTCCATATTATGAAATTAGAGTATCAAAATTCATAACTCCATAAATCAATTTCGTGTAAAAAACTTTCTGTTCTGAAAAGAATAATACATTGCAGCATGAGTCAAACAAACAAATCTTAGTTGCGGGCAACCACCAACCGGGCCCAACTTACAACCACAATATTCTCATGTTGCTTTCGTAATGGACTACGGGTATCGCCTCACATATGATATTGGAATAATGTCAATGGGGCCCGCCAACAAGGATATGATTATCATACACTTGAGCGTGCAACTACATAGATACTGAATATAGTTGCACTACGATATCTGAAAGATTTTAAAATTTCCAATAGTAACAAACATAGATTACATTGGTGAAAACGGTAAGTGGCAGAATTATCACCTTATGATTTGCATATCTATATGTCAAAATTGCTCTCGCGAGGTTTTCATATTCATGCGCGAATATAATTTTGCATATGTACCTTGTTTCCGTTTGTAGTCACGTGTCAATAATCATACAATTCCAGGGGTTACGTCATGCTGACGTCAATCAGGTATTTCCTGCGTTTGACATCTCCAGAGCTGTTTTCATGTATCCAAGAGAACGTGACATCACCTGAATATTGTTTCTTGATGCTCATGTTATCAACTCTTGAATTCTTCATTGACTATATATTGAGATATTTACACAGTTCAATGTTGCTCTCATATTGCTAAAAATATTGTGTCACCCCTATAGAATATATGAAAAAATGTCATGGTTATCTTTACTCGCAATAAGGTAATTGGCGATAATGTAATATTATTGGTTCGAAGAAAAAGTACTTTTTGTAGTGAGTCTGTCACTATCAACGAAATATAACTTTCCACTTTTAATTGAACAGGTAGATAGATATACATCCCACACGTGAGCTATTTCACGCCATTTTTGTTCAAATTTTCAATGCAAATAAGCGATTTTGCCTTTTACTAATAGCTGTGTTAAATTGATGGATTTTATACAAAATGGAATAACATTTTTCCAAAACTAATTTAAATATATAATATGATTTACTGTTGAATTTGAGCAACCTCTATCAGTGATTTACAATATATTCCCAGGAACGAAATCGCAGAAATCAAACAAGACACGAAAACGAGTTACAATTATGGTAACGGCGCTCGTGTCTGCATTCATTATTTGTTGGCTTCCATATCATGCATTCCATCTTGCAAGACTCAATGACGTAAGAATGTTTGCTCAAGCGTGTGAAAATATTTCAAATTTCACAATTGTCCTGGCCTATTCAAACAGGTAACTATGATGCTCGAAAAGATATCGTTTGTCCTGACAACGCAATCCACTACACGATTGGTTTAAAATGGAACATCACTATCAAGATGTTATCGTCTGCATCTTACCTTTAAGAAGGTCTTAAAGTTTTGTAATATCTCGTGTCAATCTCCTCATTTTCGGTGTTTCAGATAAAATCTTTTTCTTGTAGCTTCCCACTGACCAAGCATGTTTCAGTATAATATGATAACCATAAAGTTTTTGAGAATGAATTCAGATCACCGATATTTCACAAAATATTTACAGCGCAATAAATCCGTTCTTTTACACGTTTCTTGGAACTAACTTTCGTAGAAGATGGGGGAATGCCGTTGGCAAAGCAAGGAAAGGAATTCGACAAAGTATACTCAGTCACAGTGGTGATTACACCCCAGGATCCTCAATGAAAATGCGGTGAGAACGAATTGTCTGTTAATAAAACATCTTTTAATGAATCGTTTTGTTTTTCAAAAATCAGTTATTAAATTTAGATGAGAAATTTGTGATGTGGTTTTAGACATGCATATCGTCACGCTAATAACCGAATTGCGTAAGTCATTTTTAGCAGTTTTGAGAAAAACGTAAAAAACTTCATAATGATATTGTTATGCCATTGAGAGTCAATAATTTGCCCTGGTTCAATTTTTTGATCGTGGCCGGATTTAAGTTAATTTGTATGACGCAGTTAAGTGACGTCATAATGGCGCACTGTGACTTAGGCAGAAATGTGTCTATGACTTTGGGACATACGCAATTTTGCAGCTTCACTATATGCACCAGTCCTGGAAACTAAACATTCCAAAAGCGAATGTAATTCTCAGTATCTACAATGTCTAATCCCCAAAATAACTAATCAGTTTCAATTACAATATTTTTTATGTGTCAAAATATATATTTCATCAATATAACACGTTCTGCACACCCTCCGAAATAAGACTAAGATTAAATAAAAAGAATAAAACAGCAATGCACCCAATATAAAAGCCAACCAAGGTGAATTGGACTCGGACAGTGAATATCACAAGTGCACGTCTTCCTATACTGTAGCATAAATTCAAATTAATTCGCGCTAAGCTAGAATCCAAGATGCAAAAACTCGAAAATACTTCACAGAGGTTATTTTGCCTTTGTGACGTCACAATAGTCCTGCGATAATTATGATAATTTATTATGACGAAACAATTGCACAGATGTGCATGTCATACTAAATCTCGATTTTTATGGGTTTCGGAATTCTTAAAATAAAATCTGAGTTAACAGACAGGTGCGCAGCATTACATAAATACCTATTTTATAAAAATAACTCAAAATCGTCAAAAATGACTTACGCAAGTCGGTTATTAGCGTGACGATATGTAAAACTACAAATGATTAGATTATAAATATATGTGACCATGCGTCTCTGGTGTTGAACCAAGATAATGCCCATGGCGAAGTTTTTAGGAGTGCTCGGGTTTAAAATTTCTCGTCGAGTTCGTGACTATTGTGCAAATGTCGTCGCATCAACTGGTGTGGTAGATTTCTAAATTTGATAAATGTCATGCCATCTATCAATCAGTAGCTAAACTGATGCCTATTTATAAGTTAATATTCACTTTGTTTCAAGGCGTAAATCATCCGGTGTCTCCAACAGCGGAGCAAGAGACAAAAACAGAGACGATGCCAGCAGCATGAATTCATTCGTTACAAAGCACACCATCGTTCCTGTCAATAACGAAATAATTGACGAAGAAAAGGTCTGAGACGAACTCATAATCAGGAATCACGGATTATATATGACCGACGCATAGTCCAATACTAAAAATGATAGTGTTACTCGCTTCTAATTTATGGAAGTTAGAATTACAAAGAATTTTAGTTATTTTTAGGAATATTTGCCAAACTGCGCGCATGAAGGAAGATAGGTTCAATACCCATTCGTTGTTTGTATATGTATAAACAAATAATATTTTGTTTTGATTTGAATTTCGTTTCAAACTGATCAGTATAATTTTATATATAAATGAATTATAATATTTCATTATTTCAATTTCTCACGTTATAATCAAGCCACAGAGAATCTGTAATTCATTTGTAAATAAATATATCCCACATGATATACTGTACACAGCATAATTCTTGTTTTGGATAGGATAAGATAGCAATCTTCCATCTTCAAGTGATTTATAATTGCCTGGTCAAGTAGCGAATTTTTCGGATTTCCCAGGCATAATGGAACAAAATATGCGACCAAATACAATTCAAGTTTGAAAAGTGGTCAATTCAGAAACATGAATAAAAATTTAATATCGACATTATTAATAAATAAAATGACCGGAACATAAATACCTCAAGTAACTTGTTTATGTGCAAAAACAGATTATAATCCAAGATTATAATACCTGGCAATGCAGATATCCAACGAGTCAATGACACCATGAATATAACTACTAATCGTGGTATTTTACTTTTTTTGCCTTATATTCAATATCTCTTTCTGACCTGTAATATTCTAAATTGTGATGCAATGAGTAAGTGTCAATTTAATGGGGCATGCTCAGGTATGTTACCATTGCTGCGAATCAAAGTATAATAGGCGAGAGGGCAATCTGCTAATCACGTGGGATTACAGGTGACACTGCACTGCGAGACAAATAAGAATGTTTTTGCTACCAGCTTTTAACCTTGATTTTCTGTTAGCTTCAATCTGTAATACAAGAAAATCATATCATTCGTTTTTAAATTTTGGTTTTGTGAAGGGGAGGAATGGATTCCCCCTAAATCGCTTTTTATTGTGTGTGGCGAAGAGGTGATATCATATAATGCAGCACAAAAGTTTCATAATAACATAGTCTGGTGGTATATTTTAGTGTTTTGATATCATATATAGAAAAGTATTTCTTGTCTTCTAAGTGAGAAATCTGGAAGAAAATAACACAAACACATGCCAGATAACTTTTCCACCCATTCCCCTCCCCTTGGTAAGGACGTTAACGATTCAATTACACTGCGATAGTGTGTCAAAATGGCAAATTTTAAATGCAACATTGGCGTTAATATTTGGCTGCGACCAGTTGTAGGTACCCATTCAATGTCTCCTTCACCTCACCGCCACAAATAGTCATTTACGCCTGTAGACGGTGGAATTCACCAAATTCGTCGGGATGACCTAGCAACGAAACCGCCATTAAGATGGACTTTCTTTTTCAGAAAGAATGAACGTAGCTTTTGTCACATTCTAAATATCCTTTTTGAATGATATTTGGAGTCCTAATTATTGCGAATGGTTGTCGTTTTTTAGTAAATGCCGGGGTCTGAAAACCGGATAGTAAAGACGAAATTTCACGCCATTACATGCCCAATTGACTAAAAAGAACTTTATTCGGCGGTAAAGGCGATATAAATGGCATCCTACGACATGTCGCAACCAAACATTGATAATTTGCCCTTTTTACACACAAACGCGGCACTTACATATGCATATTGGTATGGAACAATATTCCTAACGGATCCCTGGATTGCTTGTACAGCACCAAGGTTTATTTCCATCATTAGCAGAGTTTCTAAAAAAGTTATCCCTCAAGTCCCCTTCGGGTAGTTTTCTATATTTGGTAAAATTGCTTGATTAATGATAAAAAATAGGACTATTTTCATTTTATTCAAGCGTCGCTGTAGTGTATTACCTGTCGTGACTATGGGGATATTGTTTCCCCCACTTTTGGCATGTATTACCATTTATTATAGAATTGACAAAGCCACGGCAAAACATTCCCAAATATCTCTCTTCATAACAACTCGTTGCTGAACAAAATGAATGCAGATTCAAAAATACAGCTTTTTTATTCGAAGTTGGATGTAACATTTAAGGTTCTCTTTTTGAATTGGCTATATTTTTATATTCATAACGTGGTTTATTAAAATAGTAGCTATTATTGAAATACTGAAAATTGTTGCTCTCTGATATCACACGATCAAATGTCGTCATAGTGTACCAGCTTAGACAGTGGCGCTCACGAAGTTTAAAATCGTTGCAATGTGTACTAATATGTATCTATTCTGGGTTGAGTCTGGTAGAAACAAGAAAAATGTTTTAAGCACAGTTCATAAAAGATGACGTACCACTCACAGCAATATTAATACAGCTTGGTTTCTTACCAATTTTCACTAGTTCTAGTTACTGATTATTGTACTGTATATCATATGCTCATATGCTTCATGAATTTTGCACTAAGCTATTGCTAATTTCATTTTTTAGAGTAAGGAGTTTTGCTCCCAGTTAACCAAGGATGTAGCTTGTGCAGTTGCATACTTGTTCGGCTCTACAATTTTCACAGATTTAAATTATACCAACACACAGTGGATATACGTAAAAGATTGTGACACGAAAATCAGTGAACTTACTGTTGCACATAGGAATGGAGCAAATTACCCTTCGGGTATTCACATCGATCGTATAACACCAAGGGCCATTATCGCCGCCATCGGGGTTTCTGCAATAATTCTATATAACAGAACTGGTAAAATATGATTGCGGTATAAACACAACTCATTCGCAAACAAAACATGCAAAAAAAAAAAGATTTACCTCGCGTGACTGTGTGAATCCCATCGTTGGCATGTTAGTCCACTTTCTGCATCTGATTCCAGACCTCGGTACGATTTGCCCATATCAAAGAGAGTGTGTGTAGAAGTTCGTATCTTTCAAACATAGATATAAAATTATTAGCAATATGCGATCATGTGTAGCAATAGGAGTCGATATCAAAACCATTTAATAAGCGGTAACCATTTTGTCGAAATAAAATTTGCGCGAGGCTTTTTAATCTACATTGTTTGGGAAACAGCTGAGCCAACGTGAAACATCCTATTGAGCTTAATCAACGTCCGATTTTGTGAAAAGACTTTTAAACAAAACAAAATTTCCGACGAAAAGTAGCATTTGGTGTGAAGGAAGCTGTGCGTATGAAGCTTTCAAATACATCAATTTTTTCAGTTGCGTATTGTTTTTATTGTATAGGAAAAGACCCAAGAAGAATACTTGGTCTAGCCGAATAGACAATTCAAAAGGATCAAAATGTAAATATTATTATTTATAAATATGAATATTTATCTGGTTCATCGCCTATAGAAGAGTACATTTCTGAAATTTATAAGAAAACGATAAATAGCTTTGACTTCACTTTATTTTATTAAACCCTTTTGATTTTTTGCACGAGGTACTCGATTCTCCATAACGAAAAATTTCCATTAAAAATCATTTGCGTATCTCTGAATTGCATCCTGATCGTTTTTATGTTAGTACATCTGCTACATCCACTTACCCATGCATTTACTATATAGTATGAAAACGGTTGCAAATTATATAAGCATAAAAAGCAAAATTTTGTGAATAGCGAAGACAAAACTCTGGAGAGAATTTTGCAAACTTGATTTTAATTTGCTGATTTCTCCCTAAACATAATTTTAAATCTAATTTCGTGTTATCTATACAAATTTGTTTTCAACTCGTTATTAGGGCTGTCCAAAATCGAATAATTTTTTGATTTGAATCGAATATTTTTGCCAAATCGAACCGAATAATCGAATATTATTGCGCAATATTAAATCTGTCTCTATTATACAATAAACGCGTGCCCTTCGATGTCGTGGTAACGTATGTGCAGTTACATCTTACTTACTGCTGGTATTTTGCAATACAATGTTTTCAGATTTATAAAAGGAGATCACACACTTGTATGAACTGGTCAAAAAATTGGAGAACTCCAAAATTTGGGTCTCGAAAACTGTTGAGTGTTAAGAGTAAAAATTGCACTATTCAACAATTGCAATCTCAATTTTGATGGATTCAGTTTTAATAGGACATGTAAAGCCTGTAGATGCTATTTCAATCCTATTCATTAGTCTTATGTTTTTTGTGTAAATTTCAGCAAAATAATAACAACCATCGATATAGATAAAACTGTTGCTCAAGTTCAAAATTGCATTTAAAAATTCCAAGCTAGTTTGATGACAATATTATTTGATGACTATAATATTGTTAGTGTACAACAGCTATCAAAATACAAGAGTGCAATTATTTGTCTTGGTATATTGATGGATAATACAGTAATGCCATCATAAGAAATTACAAATTCCATTCAAAGAAGGTATTGCCATCGTAAGGATCCCAAAACACCTGTTTCAGATTTGAGTTGCCTGTACCATGTTCCTATGATAACTAACTCAACAGCTTCAAATCATTGTATTTATAGAACTATCGTTTTCTAAATTGTCTATTTTTACTCCTTGTTCTCTCTCAAAAACGTCATGACCAATTATACCTTGTTATGATGACCATGCATGAAATGGCTAATCACGTGCCACCGGGCGGGCATTAGTAATGACATGTTTATCACAAAATGAAGGCGAGAGAAATATCGGGAAACCAATTAAGCCGGGAGCGAGAGTGGTCTGAGCTCGGAGCGCCGTCGCTTGCCCGATGAAAAACATCCCGTAATAGTGGTTTCCGCTTTATGTACCGGTACCTAAGTTTAGCATTCGAAAATTAGCCAAAAACGATTCGAATAATTTGCGATTCGATTCGATTTCGAATATTTGGTTCGCTTGGACAGCCCTACTCGTTATTTAAAGTTGCGAAACAAAGTCTCATGTGCCAATCCATGGGCGAGGTTAAGCAGTGTAGAATTCAAGATACTTGCTGGTATTTGCCACTGTGTAGTAAACGCTCGAGACCAGAATAAGAAGAAAGTCACAATGACGTTCAGAGAATCAATTTACAGGGCCTTTTTTTCTGAATACATTCACACTTTTTTCTTGGTAAAGAAGAGTATAGGTAAATATTATATGTACAAAAATCTAATCAGACAGACAATACTACTACCGTTAGAAATGCCATAAACTTTATCGTGCAAACATAGGTTTTACCAGCAATGTAATAATCTTTGTTATTCGAGGTTCATATGGCATAGGTTAATCACGAGATGAAACCACAATATTACCTTGATTAGCACATCTTTTTTTGATATTCAAAAAAATTTACCATTTTTAAAATTGAAAAATCAGCGTTTTAGAGGGTTCACCATACATACCATCATGATTACGAAAACTTACAGGTCATTTACAAACACACATTATTTATGCCAATATATATATATATATATATATATATATAACTCTATTACGGTAGTTAAACGGACCTGTCATAATTGCAGTACTTAAGCGGACGTCGTTCCTGTGTCCGTATCATTGTTTTTAAATACGTGCTTGGAGAGCGCGAGAGCCGTTGACAACTACGGAGAAAAAGAGTCAACACAATCCTCTCGATAAAAGATATAGAATTTTTGTCCGCTTAATTCGTCCACTTAATTCAGACCACCAAATGTTTTAGCCTATTTCGGCACTAAGCCGGACCCCTCTTATATGTCGCTCTGGATGTCTGCATAAATGATGTTGCTTTTATTTTAATACGCATTTTAAAGCGTATGACCTCGCTTCAATTTCCGATGGATTCGAACCATTTAGCAATATTTATCACAAAAATAGCATTTCTTTTTCAATGTTCCGTCTTTCGTGCAAGGGAGATGCACTGTGTTTGGTGTTGGAAATATTCTTCTATATCAAAAAATACTCAAAATGCAACGTGAAGGTAGACAAATCGAAACAAATTGATCCAAACGTGTTATATATTTGAAACTGAGAAATACACAGAGCATATCACAAATGTTCGCCTATTCCAACCCTATGGTGCAACATATAGATTAAACAGATGCTATGTTGTGAGTGTCAAGATATCAATA